CCGCGGCCACGGCCGCGCCGCCCTCACACGCCCGCCCGCCCGCCTGCGGCGGCCCCGCGATAGGAGACCCGGGAGGGGTCTCCTTCGCCCTGTGTGAGCCCCGAGCTGGGTCGGAGGCCGGTCCCGGTGAGGGGACAGCCCCGCAGCTCGCCTCACGGGGCGTGCTGCTTGTATGGTAGCCGTACGACGAGCGGCTGAAGTCACTTGGTCTGTTCAGCCTGGAGGAGGCTGAGAGGAGACCTCATCGCAGTCTACAGCTTCCTCACGATGGGAAGTGGAGGGGCAGGCACTGATCTCTGTGGTGACCAGTGACAGCACACGAGGGCATGGCCTGAAGTTGTGTCAGGAGAGGTTTAAGGTGTGTATTAGGAAAGGTTCTTCCCCCAGAGAGGGGTTGGGCACTGGCACAGGCTCCCACAGCACCAGCCTGACAGTTAAAGAAGCATTTGGACAATGCTCCTAGCACGTGGTGTGACTCTTGGGGTGTTTTCGTGCAGGGCCAGGAGTATGGGACTCGATAATCCTTGTGTGTCTCGTTTCCAACAAAGCATGCTCCGCGAAAATCCCTCGCCTCCCGCTGGGCGTTGGTAAGGGCAACCTGCCAGGCACGGGCTGGCACGTCGGAGCCAGGCTGGGGATGATGACTCGTGAAGAGAGCGGCGGGCAGGCAGGAGGCCGCTCTCCAGAGTCAGCGAGTCAGCTTGCAGCAGTGGAGACAGGGCATCAAACAGCAAAGAGCAGCGCCAGCTCCTTAATGTGCTTGTCTGCCGCCAAAGGTAGTATGTACAGGAGTTTGTCATGTCAAGTGTTTATRGATAATGTTCAGGGAATAGTTGTTGCATGATAAAATTATCCTCGTGCACAGACTTCTTTAAGAAAAACTCTCTCCATCGGTTTTTATGCAACAGACTCATTTATCTCAAACTATGGTAAAATTCACTTGCATGACATGAAGTCTGTGATTTAAATATAAACCAATGGATACCTACATGCCCAAAAAGATAGGAGAGGATTTCAAGGAGTGCTTACTTCAGACAATGTTACATGTAATGAAATTTCCTGCTCTCCCTTATTCATTTATAGTAATCGTGGGCATGACATAAAGGGCCCAARAGGAAGGAATTGTCAGCTTTTGGTGTTCAGAATTAAAAATAGACCAAAAGGTCCCACCTATGTAACTTGTATCATCCATATGATGGAGAAATACACAATTTCAACACAACAAAGGCATTCCTGCCCCCAATGGATGCTGGACCAAATAGCTGATCAGGGTTGTTGCCCACCACTGTCACCGGACTCTGATCAACCTGCTGCTAAAACCTTATTCCRTATGCTGCTGGGGTCTGTGGTGGTTAATGCTTCACAGGCACACTGCCATCTGGAGTACTGACAAAAACCTTCGGAAGAACAAGATAAACCCTTGTTGAGGAACTCGACATTGTGTTCTGGTCAGCAAAAAGGGAGSTATCCATGTGTCATGAAGATTTTCTGGGCTGTTTTTAAACATTTTATTTTGAACCAAATTTTGAATCAAAATTCTAAATATTCTCCTGGTTTGTTTTAATAGAGGTGTGTACAATGGGGGTTTTTTTAAAATCATCTTTTATTGTAGCTAAGATTTTATTTGATGTTTTCRAGGATACACACAGTAGTGTGTATCCAGGCATTTTGCCACCAGACACTTGCAGATACATGACCATGTTACATCTCTTGTGGTGAGATTGTGCAACTCTTCCTTTGAATGCTGAGGAGCTTCCCGTGTCCATGTCTGGTTGTGACTGGCAGCAAGAGTTCAGCTCCAGGCAGTGCCACAATAGAGGTGCTAAAGTGCAGAGGTGTGCAGTCCTGGCAGAAGCATCTTTCCCATTGATCATGTAAGGTACCAGCTGGCACAAGTGAATRCACTCAGACACTGGATTTGGTTTGAATGAAACAGGAAATAAATCACACATGGTATATAGAAATATATAGAAATAATATAGAAAACAATGCTGTAAGTAGATTCCAGATCATTGAGAAGCTCATAGAAGAGAAAGAGTGAGGTGAATGGTTCCCTGCTCTGAAACGTCTGCTCAAATCCAAGACTGAAACTTCAGCCTCACTTGCTGCTGGTATTTAACATCTGAAAAATCATACATTGGTRAATCTATTGCCAGGCTTTTTTCCACTCTGAGCATAATCTTGTGAAGATTTAATCACTAGGGGAAAAGATCTTCTTTCCTCTGTAATGCAGAGGAGAAAATAAAGAAATCCATGCAGCAGAAAAGCGTCTGGAACACGTGGCAAGATGTTTTACTTATACCATGGTATTTTGCACTTATTGTAGTGCCTTTGATCTAATGGTCTTACAGTATTTTATGAGTTATGAGTGATTTTTGATCTTTTGTTTTCCAATTCTGATGAAAAAGGCTTTGTCTTATTTTTTTTTCTGCTAGAGTAAACTGATTCCCTGAGATTATGCTCAAACTGTAAAGCCAGAAACAAAGCCAAGACAGCAGCTCAAGTCACTGCATTTCCCCTGTGCCTTCTTTCCAACCATAATCATCTTTGCATCAACACTTCCAGAAAGGGACAGAGTCCAAAAAATAGTGATTAGAAATCACAAGTTGCCCCTATGATTACATGGTAGAAATTGTAAAGAGCCCAGATAACAGGAGAATGAGCAGTGGATAAATAGACAGGCTACTTTATTAGACCCTTTGAAGCACAGTGGATTATGTTTTCACATAATACACCTGCTGTGATGCTAAGGACTAAGATCTGTCTTTGTTAACATGCCATCCAAATTTCATCAGGAACATATTTTTCATTAAAATACTTCAACGGAGCAGGTCTCTGAGGCATCTGGCTAGCGGTGGATAAAATCCTTGCCATTAAAGTTGGTCTCCCTGGAGAGTGAGAAACTAATAACAGAAGGAATGGGGGAACGAGGGAGCAGATGAATGCTCATTTAGCCCCCAACCATAACGCTGAGATCTAAATTAAGTTAGACACTGAAGGATACAAAGAGAGAGTAGTCTTTAATTGCTGATCTCTAGCACCAGCTGCCGGTGTGATAAGCAAGCAGGGAGTGCAGACGGATCCCACCTGCACACATATCCCAGGTAACTGCTGGCTGAGGCAGCCCATGTGGCTGAAATGTTGAAGACAGCCCAATGTTGAAGACAGCCCTGGCAGGAAGRTCAAACAGGAAAAAGCTTCATGGCCTGTAAAAATGGGATTATGTGTTTTCCAGTTCCTGGCAGCTGTGCAGAAATCACTTGCATGTGTGGTGATGTATGGTGCCAGAGACTGTGGGTAGCTGCCCCTTCTYAGCCAGGCCAGAGCAGCCACCTTTGCTCCAGCCAGGAGCTGAAACCAGTCTGCCTGATTTTACCCAAACCAAGTTAAGGGCCCTTATATGAAGGGCATGATCACCAGATTGGCTGTGTTGGTGGTATTCAGTGGGCATAAGGTGGGGTGTTGGTTGCTGGCTCTGTCCCCACTGCCAGCACAGTTGGGCTGGGAAGAAAATGTCCTTTTCTTCCGTTGGCATTAAAACAAGATCATGTATTAGCACATACTGTCCACAGACCACCAGGTGTGAAAGCAGAATGTCTGGCTTCTGAATTCCCTCTCTGCTCTGTGTAGTGGAGAGAGATGTGACATTGTATGTGATTTCTATCTGTGCAAAATATGCTAAAGGCCTTCTCTTGCTAATATTAAATTGACCTCAAACTTCCTAAGGGGAGCTGCAATAATAAGACAGAGAAATCTCTATTTGCCCTCATCCACACTGGCAAAGGCAAATTAATTGTGAAATCCTCAAAGCAGTGCTGGCTGGGATACAAGAGTCATCTGTTATGCATGATCAAGGTAAGGGCCAAAATGGTAATATAAATATTTGGTGTTATGGGGAAAATTCAGAGCTGGAAAGATGGAGAAACTAAAACATGTCCTCGTGAAAAACATATCTCTGCATTGTTCAAGAAAAAGTCTCAAAAAAAAAAAAAAAAAAAAAAAAAAGAAAGGTTGCACTGCAGTCTTAGTTGGAGAAGTGACAAGAATATAAATATCTTAATGACCAAGGGCATTTAAATTAATAAAAACGAGTAGGATAAAAAGCTGAAATTGTTCAAAATCAGAAGCATAAAGCTGATAAAGAACATAAGAGAAGATGAGATCTACAGTCAGCAATGTTGAGTGACAAAGATTTGTCTGATTTTAATATAAATTTAAAACAAAAGAATGGTTGCTATTCTACTGTTATCCACTGCTATGTGAAAAATGTGACTCATCAGTTGGTGTGCAAAAGAAACAGTGACGTTCAATAAATATTTGTGTTCTGTTTTGGGGTGAAAAACAGACAATAAAGCCATGCTCCAGATTAGTAATAAAATATTTCTGTACCAATGCAAGCCTCAGAAGGTAAAATAAGAGCAGCTCTAGTGAAAATCAGCAGTTAATCTAGTTAAAATCAGCAGCTTTGGATAAACTTCCATCCAATAGTTTTTAATATTGTTTTTCCAGTCAGTTGGTCTGGASATGCTGTGGAGGTTTCAGACCACTGGATGAATTATCATGGATTTTCATTAATTTGGTTGATTTGTAAAGAGAGAGCAGCTCTGACTGATACAGAGCTGGCAACCTTACCCAGTATCCAGATACAGGGATGGAAAAGCTGATAATAAAAAGTGAGAGTACCATAACCAATGCCACTTGACAAAAGTTGGTGGAAAATGCATTTTAGATAAATTTAGGAGTTTGGTGAGTAAAGGTAGCAATGTTATAATGTAATGATATTTAGCATTTCCATAAAAAAATTGGATTGGTAAACCCTGATATTTCCATGAAGGATGCTTGTGTAGAATTAGCACAGTATGCTTTAAAAGAGTTAAGTGTTGACTAATTGATCTCAAAATGTCTTTTTAATGTGTAATTTTCAAGTAGGATGTATTTACCTAAAGATTTAAGCATGGACTAGGTTTTAGCAAATTAAAAATTTTTCAGAGACCTAAAAGARAATGTAACATCATCACTGCTCAGATTTTCAAATAACACATAAACTGGGAGAATGGAAAATTCTGAAGACAAGTCACTATCACTGAGAAATCTCTGAGTACACTAGGTTTTAGCCAACAATACCTGTTTTAATATAGCTCCCATAAAATGACACATCTATGAACAAAGACTATAGAACATGCTTTGTAGGATGCACAGCTCTCCTGGGGAGTCATTACTTTACAAAGATCTGCAGCTCATATTGAGTCTTGAGCTCCCACTGTCACATCCATGAATTTGTGCTGCTGCCCACAGGTTTGGAGCAGAGAATGATGCCACCTTACTTAGAMGAGTGCGAGCTATGTGGATGGGGAGTGAATTGAGCACAAGCACAGGTTCAAGCATGTGTTTGATAGTGTGGGAATGCCCTCTGTGTATGGCTGGAGGTATAAAATCTGGGGCAACAAGTGGTCTCTGCAATTAACACATTTACTGTAGCTTTTCTTGGCCCAATGCTAGTGTTCACAATTTAAGGCAGCTATTGGGTAACTATGGAAAGCCTTTGGAGGAGCAGAGAAATGGGCAACATGATGGGCAAAAAGACTCCAAATGATCAATGTTTAAGAAATTGCTATATTCCAGCATGACAGGAACTTATGCTTAATAAAGCACTTATTAAATATAATATAATTAAATATAAGGTCCAGTGTCTAGAAGACAAAGCTAAATATGTTTGGATTGTGTAGACCGTAACTTATTTTTTCAGCAGGAAATAATCCCTGGAATAATCTGCTAAGGGATGCAGTGGGATTTCCCAGAAGATGCAATTTCCCGTTGTTCCTAAAGAGGAGTTCTACTTCAAACACAAATTAAATAAGGGAAGTCCTACAGTTTCTGTTGCCTGAAAGGTCAGGCAAGATGAAAGGTCATAWTAGTCTCTTCTGGCCTTTTAACCTATAAAAAGATTAGAGTCCTGGTGGAAAAAAAGAATTATCCTTATCTTGCCTTCCCCAAAACACTGTGGAAAAAACAATAGGAATGCAGAAATATCAGAAATAGTCACTTTGCAACAGCTGTACCTAGTTTGATAGTTCTACTGAAAAGACAAAMCATTTTGATTTTCACTCCAGAATGTGTTTTAAGATCTTCATTCTCTCTGCCACAGCTCAGCCATACCCAATACATCCATTTACAGAGCTGCTAACTAGTCAACATTTGATAATCACAACAAAGGCTGGGTTTTAAATTGGTGGGAGTTTTGCCATTCTTATCTAATGAGTGGATCAAATCAGAGTATCTCTGCAATTTAAGGACACACCTCAAATTCTCTGTCTAATGCAAAGTGAAACTTGGGGGAATTACACCACAGACACACACAACTGCTGTGTCTGGCTGAAACAACAGACTYATACACTCCAATATTGTTATATTTAGGCAACATTTAGGAAGATTTCTACCTACGTGAAGTGAGTCACTAAATAGCCAAAGGAAAAATGCTGCACCAACAACAGACACAAATGTATTCTGTGCAAYTGTGCTGGCTTTTTTGTTCTTTGAAATAAGAAAGTGCTTCACACAGAATGTATCCTCCTGCAATTTTCTTTTGGTTAAAATAAAATAATGACTCTTTTGTTTTAGTTTCTGGGAGTGTTCTGCATGTATAAAGCAAATGACACAGGACCACCAATTTGACTGTTGGCTTCAAAAATACAGAGTAACAGCATTTAGACCAGTCCCCAGCTTTACAACTTCSTAATACTGATGATAATACTTGTACATAAAATACTTGGAATTAACAAAACTTTTCAAAAAGTCTGAAGAGTCTGAGCCTGGTGGTCAGAGCAGGACTAGATACACATTGACTATTCCACCAGTACGAGCCCCTTTTACCTTAAACTTGCTGTCCATCTCTGCTGAGAGCAGGGCAGGGCAGGGTTTAATATGCTCTTTTATCAGCCGAAACTTGAAGTTACAGCATTCTGTGAGTCCAGTGGGAAGGCAGGAGACCCCAGATCCTACCTGGTCTTTGGTCTGGAGCAGGGATACACAGCACTGTGGTTTCTGTCAGGTCTGCCTCTCCAAGAGCATGTGCAAACTAGCAGGCTGTGGGGTTTTCTGAAACTTAAGTTGCCTTCAGTCACCCCTGAAATTTTTGTGTTTTGTTGTGTGTTTTGGTTGCTTTGTTTTTTTCCTAATTTGAATAATACTTTAATTCTAAACCACAAAGAAAAACTACTCTCAAGCCTGCTGGACAGGACAAGTACCTGGGAGGTGTCTGGGAGGACAGATACTTGGACTTCTGCTCCATTAAGAGTATTTAAATAGATTTTTAAAACGTTGCCAGCAGATATGTCTAGAATATTCTCTCAACATGAGCAYTTATAGCTCATTCTTCAGAGAACAAAATTATAGTTGAAATCTTCCCAACAGAAGGTGACCTGGAACTGTATGGTCTTGCATTTCACACAAATGCCTGCAGGATTGAGAGTTAAGATGAAATGGGAACTGCTAGAATAGGAGTAGGAACGTAATTATCAGATTTGCCAACTGAACTCAACAGAAAATACATTGGAGAGGGAGTTCCTCCCAGAGAAAACAATAATTTCTTATCAAATCCACAAATATTTTTGAAATTGGCTGTTCCTGCCTTTTTAGTGTGTATTTTGAAAGAACTGTCCAGTTGCAATTGAGAGTCTCCCAGGCTTCAGGAAGCAGGAACCTCTACTGCTGGCAACAGGCTYCCACTGTCTCCTGCTACTGTTCTCACGAATTCAGTGATAATACTTGCACTAATTTTAGAAGCGCAGTCAGGCTCTTTGGACAAACCATGAAAGTTCTATTAGAAGAACTGAGCATCAAAGAGTTTAGTTAATCAATATGCAACCAGTAATGATTGTGAAAGATACATATCTGAGGACTTCCAAATGCACATCCACGTATACATTTCAGAAGAAAAAAAATTTGCACTGCAGAAATATAGTCCACATTAGATCCAYGTTTCCATAGGCTGAATATAATTTTCCTGTAAACAAAGCAAAGGTGAAACGGAAAAAGATGTACAGATTCCTGAGGAGTGTCTTCCTGTCAGARGTTTTCAAAAGCCCATGTTTTCAAATGAAAAACACAATCAAAACTGCTCCATAAAAAGACAAGCACTAATTGTGTAGGCAGCCCTGGCAAAATGAGGTAATAGTTATATATCATGATACAAATATGCTACAAATAATCAAAACAGGAAAGGTTCATATCTGTACCTTTTGTATTAAACTAGTATTATCTGTAAGAATGGCAATTTTTGTATTTTCCTCTCTCTTAGAATCCTGCCTCAATAGTCAATGGATTTCTTGTGGGCAATGACAGTTCACGAAAGAGTAATGCACTACCATGGTACAGCACACCCGTAAATGTCATTYCCCTTGTTCACCCAACAGCTGGCTCTCCCCAAGGTTTTGGATACCTGATTTCAGTTTTASATTAGCCGGGAAAACATGCTGAAATGTGCCAAATGCCTTGTCAGTGCTAGCACGTAGAGAATAATGCTTGGCTTGTACTCAGACTGCTTCCCTCATGAAGGTGGTGCTTGAGCAGACACCTAAAGTTTGACTGTTCTGGCCGGGATGGGCCCCAGGTTACTCAGCAACAGAAGCAGGGTCCTCTAATTACATTTAATTCTGCCCTTTAAATCAAAACTATATTATACCCTTCTAGGTACAAAGTGAGATAGCAAAAATATGATGTATTTTAAAAACCTGCCTCATAGAACCCAAGTTTTTGATGTGCAAAGATTTTAAAGCATTTAAAACATTTAAAAAGAAAAAACTCAACAGAAGTCTATTTAAGAAAATGTTTTAATTTTTCTTACTTTCTAGTAGTCATTTTCTYACGTGTATGCTTAAATTCTAAACCAGCCATACAATTTAGCCTAAACACTTCTTCCCTGTAGGAAAAACAAAATCAATGAAAAATCTTGGGAAAGAAAAGCTTGAGAAAGTATCATTATTCTAAATAGGCTGTATTATTATTGCTTAATTAAGATAATGAACCACTGGGGGTTGAAAGAACAGAGGCTAGTAGTTTACACTTGGCATTTCCTTTCAGGTTTTGTTCTTCCTGCACATGACGTGCCCTCTTGTGGGGAGAGGTTCAGGCCACCACTGGTCTCCCGTGACAGGTTTTTATATGCCTTGACACAAAATACCTTTTTGCTTCCGAATTTCTCACTTTTCAGTCCTTCCTTAATATGTGGTGCTTGGTGTACTTCGCATGGATCTCTCCTGTGGGTTGTGGGGAAGGTGAAGGAAAGCAAGATCTAAGAGTCCTGAAGGGATAATACCAGGTGACCAACACAGTAAGAATGGTGTGGAACCGGTTCCTTCAGCTATCTCAAAAATATAAGTTTTAGCACCTTCGTGGAGCAGAGGAAAACTGCCTTAAAGAAAGCACTGTATCAAAGCTTGTTCATGACAAGAATAAGAGGACACAGCTCACCCGATATAAACAACACCCCACAAACCACAGGTGTGATCACTGTAGGGATCTCTGCACTGAAGTCCTTATTGGCAGGCTCTTAACTCATGTCTGAGCTATGGTAACACTGAAATATTCTGAAAATATTTTCAGGCTCATATTAAAAGCCTTTTTGTCCTTTTGTGAAGTTGATCCAACCATTTTAACCACAGTGCAGTTAACCTGTATCCTGTCCTTGCCCATACCTTGAATTAATTTATTAAAAAGTCACTTCAAAATGCCAAAAATTCAGGTGATGTGGATCATAGACATCCACTTAACTGTTATCATCACAACAACAGATCTTCAAGTAGTGTAACAACTCCACTGGAGTTAGGAAAACTGAGGTGACTATACTGCATTCAGTATGAACACAGGGTGAGGAATCCAAACAGTGATACCTTGTGACTGTTAAACACAGGGTGATAGTCTTCTTCCTCCCTTCAATATGGAAAGCATATGAATTTTCACATGAGAGGTAAGCAAATGAACTGTTTCCTCAAAACAAGTAGTAGGCTGATGGGACAAACAAATTATTTTTTGTTAGAAGTACAAAATAGAAGCACATTAAAGCACAAAGCCTGGTAGAGTGACAGGAGGCTGCTCCACTCTGCTACAGAGAGAGAAACGGCACCCAAAGTGCCACATAAATGGACAGGAAGCAAGATGGCAAGGAAAGAGAAGGGAGGAAGTCGGTGCTAACCATGCTTTTATCTGAGATATTAGTGTAAGATATGACAAAATAAACATGGTAATTTTTAGATTCACATGACAYATAATAATCTCTCTTGCAGCATGTTCTTTTTGTCTCAAATTACAGAACCATAAGACTCTTTCTTAGAAAACTGTTCATCACTTCTAGTAGAAGCATTTATTCTACACTTGTTTGTTCCTTATACTTCAGTACACACCAAAGTCACGTTTCTTATCACTGTGGATACATCTGCCTGCTTTGCTGCTCCAAACATAAACAAACTGGAATTGGGAGTATGCAGTAACGTGGCTTTCGGGCGCTGACCCTCACGGCACTCTATGGTGATATTATCTCCACTTTCACTGGTGTGGAATCTTCTCTTGAAATGAGAACTACAGAGAACATCAAATAAAACTTGAAAAATGAGTGAGTTGGCTTGAGACAATTGACATGCTTTTGACTTTGTGATTTCTATTTCCTTTCAGTTCCATGTAAGAGGATTCAGTACTTAAAATACCTGAGAACTGTAAAAGCATTGCAATGTTCATGTCTGTCGCAGTTGACTAACAAAATAAAAATTTTAAAGTCAGTTCTTAGAAGGAGTCTGCCCTCTGCTCTCTTGTTCAACTATGACATAACAAACTGTACACAAATGGTATTAGCTTTGTGTCAGAAATAAGTTTGGGTAGAATCTCAAGCCTTCCACGGAATCATCTCTGCAAAGATGGCCCATCTTTTCAGCAAGAAGCAGCCTAGAGAAAGCAAAAGATGTGCTGGATTACTTGAGGACAACATGACAACTAAAGTATTAAATGCAACAATTATTACTTACCTTTCTTTGGCTAAGAGAACAGACATCCCCACCAGCTTAGCAAACTCGTCAGCTGTGAGAGAACCCTTTTCGGATACCTGTCAAAAACCAAATACACAAATAAACAAACTACGGTATTCAAAGAAAACCACGTTCTCTCAGCTACTGAATCAAGTCTAGCCTTGAGAGTGATAAATTGGTAGCAAATTCTTGAAAAGAAAATTAATTTGTTTGCATTTTAAAAAGTACAACTAACTGTGAGTATTTCCCTTTTCTGTGTCCTGGGAAAACTGGAAGAAGTAGAAAAAAGGAAGAGAGAAAAGAGTTAAATCAGTAAATAAATCATATGGTATCCTTTCCTTTGGATTTCTTTTAGAAGATGCCTTGGGGCCAAATGAATGGAAAAACTGGAATAGCTCAGAGAGGAATCTCAAACAGACTCCACAGTATTCACACAGCAGAACTATTCCAAGTGATTCTGCAAATGCTGAAGCCTAAATGAGGAAATAAAAAGACCTGTTCAGGGTAGCTCATCAATGTACAAATGTAAGTCATCTCAGGTAGAAGTGAAGAATTTGAGTTTTATGGCATTTTAAATATACCCACTACCTACATGAAAACCCCCCAACCTTAGTACTTCACATGACATTATGGCATACTAGAAGGAAAACTAAAAGTGACCATCACATTCATATGATGCAAAAGACGGGTTCATTCTTGGCCAAACTTTGGCCCTTTTGTCTCAGCCATGTTACTTAATACATGCTAAAATGAAATCTTACCCACATTGGACATGCGGATTTTYAAAATACCAGATAAGTACTATACATGAAGTCTAGACTTACTAGTGCATTAAATTTCCCAGAYAAACATGTTTTATTACCCTAAAAATAAAAACTCTTCCATTTCTCCATTGCTTTAGATTCAAGCAAAGTTATAACTGCAGATGTAGTTTCCATTTCCTGCTTCTCACATAACTGGGTGGGGAGAGTCTATTCTGTATCATTCTCAGCAGTAGTCCTTTCACAGAAATTCAGATTAAATTAGTCCGAACATGAGATTTTCGGAAGCTAAGGGATCAAATCTGAGTAATGGATGTCAGCTAGACAATCGGTGATTAATTATCTTTCCTTCCCAAACCACTAYTCTCATCAAGGGTGATTTCGGATTCCTTTGACGTCCATGTCATTTCCTGTCTTCACCAGCCCTTCAAAACCACATCTCTGTTCTGCCTGAAACCCTATGGCTTCCTTTCACTTCTTCTCAGAACTTCATGTGTAAGTGCAATAACAATAAAGTATGGATGCTTTTGGCCACAAGTCTGCTCTCATCTTCTTTTTCCCATACAGRAAACCTTCCAATACAGGCTAGCCTTCCTCAGCTGAAGCTTCTCCTTACATCTTTCTGTGGAGTCAAAGTCTCATATTATGGACATAACWGCAAAAAGTCACCTTGGCAATAAATTTACCATCTGTTACTTTTTGCAGTTGACCTCCTTTGTTATCAAGAAAGGCTTTCCCTTTCTTTTCAAAGACCTAAGTGCTCTTGCTGAAGGCAAGAAAAATCAAAAATAAACAGGAAAAAACCATAAATGGTCTAGGTACTTTCCTATAAATACAAGAAAATAAACTGAAAATATTAACATATTTTGAAAGACTTAAGCACGTTAATGTTGTTAGCTTAGAATGGAATCTTTTAAGTGGCTCTATAAATTTCTCTTAAAATCTTTTTGATAAGCAGAAGCTTTATGGTGACAATCATGCAAAATGCAGTGAACAATCTACCTTGTGTCAAGCGAGGTGTCTGTGATAGYTCTACTTTTTCTCGAGTGCTCCCTCTTTGACTTTAACATTTAACTTTGGAYACACTGAACCAGCCTTTTCTCTAGTGTATGAAAATAAAAAAATACATTCCACTGAGACACAGAAAAATACATCAAATAATGGGATAACAGGACTGTAAAGTGTCCAGAGGCARCAAGACAATAAAGGTTTATGACACTGAGCAATTCATACTACCTTTTTTTCCTGATGAAGCTAGCTTAATTCTATACACAATACTCTCCCACTGAATGCTCTTTACAGCAGCAAACTCTGCAAGATGTTACACATCCAATATACTGCTCTRTGAAATAAACCCAAACCAAACAACTACCTAGATTAACATTTAAGAGCTGCTCCCACTGCCTTCAAGCACATCATGTACAGTGTCTGAAGTCCACTTCTGTTAAATTAGGAACTCAATACACGCCATGAATTTCATTCTACAGCGCAAAAGATTTCAAGGAAGGTTGAAGGTTAATGAAGTTTAAAGAGAGATAGAAAAGTGATTTAGTTCTTAAAGAGAAAGCAATGACTAAAATTACYGCCTGCACAGAACTCTGAAGATGAGAAGTTCTATTTAAATATTTCTCTTAGAAGATATGAAGTGGAATGTCTTGTATTTTTAAACCTCATGAGGAAATCCCATACCTCAACTTTTTTACTTAATGTGTTTAAATTTCCCTAGCCTGGTCAGAACACCAAAGGAAATGCAGTGCACTTACTGTCTCCAAAGCAGCAGCTACCATTTCCTCTTCGTTATGAGACTGGAGCTCAATCACCATCACACCACTATCGAATATCCGAAGCCTAAAATCAAAATAGAGAGGCAAAGTAACTAAAAAATCTGTGCACATCACCTACGGGCACATTTCTAATGCATCCACACCTATAGCCACATTACAAAAGGGAAAAAAATCCCCTAAACCCCAAACAAGTTCTGTAAGATGAACTTAAGCTTAATAGCATCTTCAAAACCTGAAGAGATTGGAAAGAGCAAGGCATATGTCTGGTCTAGATTAAACCCTCTTCCCAGTCTGAAAAAATTGTATTAGAGGTGAAAAAACATAATGTCTTTCTAGATAAAAATTAATGTTTTAGTGTAGAGTGGATGTTGGTGCATATGGCAGTATCCTTTAAGCAAAGAATGACTTTGTTAAAAATACCCACAACAACCACAAAAAACACCTACTGCGAAAAAAATATTAAATCATCATGATCTGACCTATGAGTGTCATGCTTTATAAATAAATCTGTAAAGCTCTTACCTTAGTGGCAATTTCAGTGATTCCAGCATTTTACAAGCATTTACTAAATCCTCTGGTGACAGCAACTATTAAAATAGTAAAACACATTTATTCACAGTTTGCATTTCAGGTGTATAGTATAACATCAAAACAAACAAAGTTTTAGTAGCTGCAGATATAAAATACACCAGGCTACACTTATTGTTAATTCTTTTTCCTTTCTATTGTGCAGTCTATTTTCTTGGTTTCTATGCTCCTTTCTGTTCACTTACTATGTGTTCTATAATAATCCCGCTTGCTCTGTTTACAGAAAGAATTGTTGTATTTTGTAAAAATTCCCCAGGAGATYCACCATTCTTTAGTAGTCTCTGTCCTTTAAGTTTTGTTTCTGGGTAAATATGGATTTTCCCTTTTACACGATGTCATAAAAAGCAGCAAACATCATCACAACTTTTAAAGGACACRTAAGTATTATATGGAAGAATGAGACAGGAAAAAGGTAAAAACCTAATTTTAATAAAGGGCTGTTCACATCTTGCTGTAGACAAGTAGAAAGAACAATTGGTAGGGAACATTTTACCCTTTTAAATTTCCTTACCACTGAAGTCCTGTTATAAAACATAGACCCAAAGCAGTGTCTCACCTCCAGCCCTCGTGCACGATTTACCAAGCAGTACACTTCCGTAAGGGACATGATCCCCCCTCGCTCCTGTGTTAAGCACAAGACTGGTAAGAAAAACAGCATTCACCCAGTAAACACAGCACCTCTACTTGCATATGGCTTATTAAACAAGTAAAACAGAGGGGGTAAATGATGGGCCCTAATGGTAAAAACTAAAGAGGTAAGTTGTACCTTTCACTAATTTTAAAATGTGAACCAGAGACATCACACCCAAGGACTATGAATTACTCTGACTTTAAAGTAGAGAATAAATCACAGGCACAAAAAATTTCAGCATTAAATACATCAATCCATTTATCCTTTTTACTTTTCAGACAAACTCAGTTTTCCATTCTGATCACAGTAGGTATCACATATCTTTCACAAAAATACTGTAGTATGTATGCTTTTTAGTAGGAACATAGCCTCATAAACAGCAACATGAAATCTAACTTTTTGGTGACAAACCGATAATCTGTAACAGTTTAAGATAAATTAAAACAGGAGATATYACTAAGGGCTGGCAATCCACTTAATAATTATGTCCTATATTTGTAAAATATGKAAATTTTATGCAGTTTAAAGACTCATTAGATTTTCAATCAGTGCCATTTCCCTCTTCAAAAAAAGAAATATTCTGCAGCAAGGGATGAATATAGGCCTGCTCAAAGACAACTTGAACAATTTTCTAAATCTCATCAATATTTTGCAAATTAAAAGTTGATCCATTACTCCAAATAAAAATTTGTACTTACAATTAAGCTTTTTAGTCAWAAAGACAATATATATTCATATACACATTGAAAAAGAGGCAGTGCTGCTAATTCTGCTTAAAAACAGCAGAGTGCTACAGCCAAAACACATATCAAAATTCAGCAACACATGGAAAAACGCTGGTGCAAGACATGGGAATTTACCTCTAGTGGTGTCTGCAGGATTCCAGCCAGTTGCTTCGCCAGTTGCATGTGGTACTCTGTACCAGATCCATACGTTTCCCTCGTCACTGGATTAGCTATACCCATACTCAGTAGATACGACTTGAACTTAATAGTCTGAACAAGCAAACAAACAAATAAATTTAAAAGTACCTCAGCTAATGAATGATTCTGGTTTTTAAAAACCTTTGATTTTATTACTATAACACAGTTTTGGTGAACAAATCATTCAGTTTACTACCAATAGTCAATAACCAGCAAAGAGAAGGCAAGACTTAGTACCATGTCTTTTTGACCAGCACAGGTAGAAAAATTYATTAAGAAGTAGTAAAAATGCTTTTAAAAATGGCTAAAAGAAAAATTAACACTAAGCAAGTAAATTCCACACAAAGTATAAGGGACGAAACACAAAAAAAACAATGAGCAGATGGTTTTTATTAACATTACGTGTATTAAACAGATAGATTTTTGCTTTCCATAGGAACATTTCTGTTAAATTTAATAAAATAATAATTTACCTCATCCTCAGTGATGTCGCCTTGCTTTTCTTTAATCTTATTAGCTATTGATTTGGATAACTCCACCATTTCCTTAGCCTATCAAGAAAGACACACAGGTAAGTCAACTTTCAGCTCAACARAGAAAAGCATGCTTAAAACTGAGAAAACAAATGTAAGTCTACTTCAGTGACACATGCCATCCATCCATACCTTCTCCATTAGTTTGCCAAGGTCTTCAAAGGCCTGAAATGAAAAGCAGACAGTGCAGATCAGTATAATTACAGCATTAAGCTTCACAGGTACAGGGAGCTGCTTTTGTCCACCTATCCAAGCTATTMATGAGAGCTGCTATCCCTTTAGATTAGTTACAATGTGAGATATCACACCTTATTTGTTGATACAATTGTTTTACAGCATGTCCTAAAGTAAACATGATCAACAAAGAACGAAGAAGAGAATCAATCACAGACTTTTTCAGTAAGTGAACAGAATTTTGGTATGATTTATGATGTGCATGTGATATGGAAGGGACAAGGAGATAGGGAGTTCCAGAAAAGATTAAACTGTCCAACTTTATTATGCTCTCCATAAAGCGGGGGAAGGTTTCTGGGTGGBGATGGTAGGTTTTATTCCAGGAGTTAACCCTCACTCAAGGAGATCTGTTGTTTCTGGCCAGCTGCAAGCTACAGATGTAAAGCTAAAGATGWACTCCTGTGACGTGGTTCAGTAGAAGTTACTAAGTTAGTAAGAAACACTCATTTCAAATGAGCAAAGAAGATGGCATATGAGGGATGAAATGTGTGGCAACATCTCTTAATTTAAATACTCCAATAAAATGCTTTGGTCTCAAACACAACAGCTCTCCAACAACCTGCAAGAGGTTTTTGGGCTTAAATAGATCATACTTTTAAAATAGCTTAAAGTATACTGAAATTCCAAACTTTTAGTAATTACAAACTAGCATTAAAAAATTCATGTTAAAAAAAAGGAGACCTAGGAACTCCATTAATGCAACTATATTGAGAAGCAACTCTCTTTTTTCTCTCCCTCATCAACACACATTCAGCCTCCTCACTTCTCTCAAACACATGACAACATGTCCAGGTGGTCAACCTTTTCAAACAACCTGTTTTGAACAATTGGTGTGAGAAATATGCCTGAACCTTTTCATCTAAAGTTTGCCTGACAGCAGCACCCAAGCCCTCCAGCCCCAAGCAAAGAAGGTTCAGTTACATTGAAATGTAACTGGCCAGAGATATCTTTCCTACAGCTTCTAGTCACTGCCTCTATGTCATTTCTGGATTACTCTGACTAATCACCCATTAGAAAGACACACTTCTGAGTATTTTTGCAGGAAGACCCCATTGTTCCCATCTACATCTRGGTGTCTTATGTGGAAGCTTATTGGTCAGACATTCAACATTAAAAGAACAAAAAAAGATGCCACTGGAAAGGGACAGGGTTTGCTTTTCACTCCTGATAGTGCCAGTGTTTCTCCACTGACTGGACAAGTTTAGCCTCCTAACACTTAGTATCTGAGTTAGACACCCAAAATTAAGTGGTCCACAGGGAGAAAAGAAAATATACCATAGTATAACAATAATTTACCACTAAGAATACAACAGCTTCTCTTTAGAATACTTCTTACTCCATAGTCTACCAAATTGAATAATTTACAATAGATTTCCCAATCTCTAGTGTAAATCAAAGTCCTGCTACTCCATTTGTATATGATAYCAACAAGAAGTTTTCTAAAAGGGCTTTTCCCAGCTTATTTCTAATCTTTATACCTGCAAGAAAACAACATTCATCAAAAGAACCCTTGATTTAGCCAAATAAACAGCATGCTGTGTCTAACTCCTCCTCTGCCTGACTCACCCAGGGCAGGCCTGGAAACAAAGGGGAATGTGCACACACCTAACAGGAACTTCCTCAGATAAACAAAAGGCTAAAGAACTGGATTCTTATCAGCACTGAACAGCAGATGCAGGAAGCCTTTTCCTGGAAGCCAGGGCACCAGTTTTTAAATTAAGTCACTTATAACATTTAAAGCTGGAGGAAGGCAGGATTTTACAAGTCATGATTTTCCTCTGCTCATACAACATGTATAAATGGATTTCTTTTACTCTCTGACAAAGCTACTAAAGGAAGAAAATAAGCAGACAATGCCTTTTGAACTATACACACAYGCATGTAACCACAATACCTTTTGAACGACACACAAAAGTTCATTCATTATGTTCCTCACAGACAGAAAACAAGAAAGTTTAATGCTCCCAGTATCTGAAACAACACCTGGCCTGCAAAGGCACTATAATTTTCCTAAGTATTAACACAGAAAATACCTTTTTCTCATGGCACACTTAATCCCATAAAGCTTTCCCACAAGAACTAATCTGCTGCATGTAGTTTATGAGTACTTTTGTATTAATACCTACTACCAAAACAGAATCAGACTATTTTTGAGGGTATTGCTCTCAGGTGTATATGAAGGAATTAAATGCCTCGGCTGTCCATCAATATTGATAGCGAGAATCCAACTATTGTGCTGGTTCAATGGAAAAGGATGGTCTCCAACTAGCCCAGGTATTTTGCAAACCACTCGTAACTTCTTGTTGATGCCTGGACTGCAAATCACTTTGCTGTAATTATAAACCTAAATCTAACATTTAAAAACCTGATTACAAGATGAAACTTTAACTTCACCACAGTTATGTGCAGACACTTGGATGAGCACATTCTGCTTAATATATGCTCAATTTTCAATTGARACCAAAATTAGTTTAATAAATACACACTGCTGGTTTCAAAGAACAACCTTCTTGAAAGGTAAATTGTTTAAATGAAGTACCTTTACATACATTGACAAGCCAGTTAAACAAAATAAATAACTGTGAACTGTAATCAATTAATAAATTCAGACTTCTCAACAAAAACAATAAATAGTCTCAGCTRTCCCTAAAAGAAAGTGTGAATGAATGTAAATAGTTCAGACAGATGGTTGACCTTGAAACTTCAAAAGAACCTACCTCGGAAATGTTTTTGTCAGTCTCTTTTCTTTTTTCTTCTAATTTCCTTTCAATGCCTACAATTCCTACAGCCCTTACTCTTCCTGCCTGAAAAAAAAAAAGAATCAAAATAGGAAATGTAAAGTTTTCTCATCTGCCTCACTGTGAAAATTAGAGGACAGGCAATATTCCCCCAAACAGCAGATACCATTCCTACAATATTTCATGCATTCCTTGACAGAAATTTTTAACCATTGTAAAAAAATAAACAAGAAATGTGAAGCATGTATGAATTTGCTGCAYTAGACATTAATGATATTGAGAGCAYATCAAAAATATTAATATGCTTAATAGCCCGATTCAGACTGACTATTTCAGCTCAAATCAATTCTAGCCTCTCAAATCAATGTGAACATCCATATTAGAGCAGTGGAAATGTCTAAGTGTATTACTTCAAGAAATCCAGCCTGAAGAAACAGAAACATAGACACACAATGCTAAATTCAGTCTAATTTGCCTTCCTCAGAGGTATTAGAATGGAGGCCAATGCCAAGTGTGTTCTAGAAAGGCTGGTACCTAAGTGGCAGTGCTGTCATGCCTCTAATCTCTGACTGCAAGGCTTAGCACTAGTGTTCCCCAGTTGCTATGATTTAAGTACAAGAGATTACATTTTGATTAGATTCTTCATGCATTACTCCGAATGCATCTGTGCTTATAGATACTACATTTACAAAAGAGGACATACAGGATTTCATGTTCAACAGTCTTTAAATCATCCTATTTCATTCATACAATACTTTGCATTCATATATTCAGCAGAATWCTGAAACAGAAACAACATGTAGTTGTTTATCAGTTTATAACAAAGAAGTATGCAGACAGATAAAGAAGATAATCTAACATGACATTCTCCCTAACTACTGTCCATTTAGAATATACATTTAAATCAAATACATATAGATTTCAAAGCCTGTAAGTTACATATTATAGATTTGACTTCTGGACACAAAAAAGCCCCCAGAAATCACAATTAAGACAAAACATTTTCCGGCTTCATTAAACCTCACATGCTGAATAAAAGTATATATAAATAAATACTGCATTTGTACAATTATGTGTGTCTAACTAAAACAAAAAAAAAAAAAGGAGCTCATTATTTAAACGCACTAAAGAAAGAGAGGCTACCAGGAGAAAACTGCAAAAGAGAAACTAATTTATGCCTGTGAAAAAACAGGCAAACTAAAGCTGAATTCCTGCACGCACCCATGAAGTTGGTCAGTGAGGCATGTGCTGCATGCAGTATACAGGAGTGGCAAGAAATGGAAACAAGAGCTTACACACAGATCCTGCTCAGAAGCTTTGCACATACCTGTGAATCCTTGTTAACTTGCATAGTCTGACCAGTAGGCATGCTCTCCCATCTTCTTTGTGTGAYTTCTTCTGATAATCGTCTATAGAACTGCAAATTAAAGAGAGACAACAGATGTTTCATAAACTCTGCAGAGTACCTCTGGGTATTTTTAGCATCTTAGTGGTGATGAAATAAACTTTAGAAAGCGTGGAGACAAATTGTGGTACCACCTGTACATCCATGGTACACCACTATTATACGGAAACTTTAAATGTGCAGTCTTCGAAAGTATTCACATTAGCGGAGGAGCCATGTAGTCACTAGTTAAACTCACATAAGTACTTCTATYGTAAAATACTTCTTTCAGATATTCAAACTGTCCCAAACCATTCTAAAGTTTAAAATGTTGAGGTATGCTTAAAGATATACTTTTAAAGGAAGGAAAGCTGAATAATCCAATTGCTATTGATGTGCTAATTCAGCAATATAAAAACAACCAGACAGATGAATTACACCAATTTATTTATTGCWAATACGAGAAGGTGGCATCAATTTATACTAAGTGTACCAATATCCACTGACCAATATCCAGAAAGAAAATCTATTCCACCCTTTTCATTGTTCAGATTCACAGGAAAGCATTCTGTAGTCATAAGAAAGGCTTAGGTGTAATTGATGTGCTAGGCAACCAGTAAGCACAACAAGTTTAATTTTCAGACACAACTTTAAAATAAATACAATTGTGATTGAGAAAAACATACATTTATAACTATGCATAAATCTACAGTTGACATAGTCTGAAAACTGTTCACAAAGAAATGAAAATGAGTCTGATCAAGCACATGCATTTTTAAGTCACTTTTAAGTAATTTGAGTTGAAAATCCGATTTTCAGCTTTCAATTGCAGTAAACAGGTAGAGCTTTTTCCACTGTCCAAAGTTAAAGGATCTTGCACTGTGAAATTTTAGAGCGCAATTTCTTTGGCTTTTAGGGTAAGTCTTCTTTTAAAAATATATTACATTTTTCTTAGAATGCTGAAAATCTTTGAGATTTGGTGTAGGTTAAAAAAAATATTTTTATAAAGTGTACAACAAAGAAAAGTTCTGAGGCAACAAAAAGTGTTCAGCAATAGAATTAGAGAGATAGGCAACGAAAAGCGTTCAGCAATAGAATTAGAGAGATAGGCAACGAAAAGCGTTCAGCAATAGAATTAGAGAGATAATTAGGAATAAGTTGTTTGATTTCTGTTCAGCAGAGGGTTAACTACAAAGAAACATATTTTACTCTGTCAAACATTTAACAGATTTCAGAGGCGTCATTTTGGAAAATCCTGTGTTCAATTTAGTAGATTAAAAAATAAAGTATAAGATTATACTAAATTCCCTAAAATAAGAACTAGCCTAGTAATGCCTCTTGACATTTTTGGAACTGTATTTGCATTATTTAATGGAAGTATAGAACATGGAAGGCTCATAGTGTTTGTCTTCCAGAAAGTTCCACCTCAAAAGTAAACATGGAAAGTTCATGGAAAATTATCACTAACACAGAAAGTGGAGAAAAGCATGTCCAAAGACCTGATGCGCTTGGCATCCATGGTACAAGATTTACCTCAATCTGCCCATGTTCTTTGAAAGAAAGCTTGATGTAGGAATATTTGCTGCTTTGGAATGGACCAGGCTCTTTGTTTGAAGAAGCAGGATGAAGATGAACTACTATTTTGGCACTAAGGAAAAGGTAAAGGAAAGAGAAGATATTTCTGTAATATATAAATAAACTATTCCTGCATCAAAGTTAACCATTTAATCAAAATCTCTATTAACTATATCACCTAAGACCTAAAGATCATCAAATAACACTTTACATTTAAACATCAACATTTAAATATTTTGATGAAGTAGATCTAGCACAACAACCAGTACAGCCTCTAAAACAGCAACATCTTGCAAGTTTAAAATGTACCTACCATCAATTATTGAGAAATAAACATAAGAAATTGWAAAATTTCAAGCAATAATTTACAAAAAATCCTTTAGCTAGGATAAAAACTGATGATCAAGTTGTCATTTAATTTGGCAGTACTTATTGCCAGTCAAAAGCCAAAACACACTGTCTTTGACACAGGAAAACAAAAGGTCTCAATATTATTTGTAAGCTATCCTACTTTCATATCTCACTTATGGACACTGTATGTGAACTTATCCAAAACCAACATTCAAAGGTTACACACATGGAAATAACACTCTGAAATGACACCTRCCACCAAAACAAACCTTGGGAAAGCATTATTTTAGGGAAATTAATAGACTGCTGTCACAACATTACTGCAAGTACCTCATTCCCATCTCATTTTACTGATACTCTTTTCATTAGTCTTTATTTACTTCTCCAGCATTAGTGAATTACCTGATTTCTTCTGAATACCCCTTGCATATTACCTTACCAGTCTGACTGCAGGCTGCAAGCAGATGCTAAATGTGTTTATATTTCTCCAGGTAAAATTTTTTTCTCCAGTTAAAATTTTTTCTCTCTTTAGAAACTTAAAATCATAGAAATGTTTATGTTGGAAAAGACTTCTAAAATATCAACACATACTTGTTTAGTGATTACATGGCAGTTACTTAACAAATCACATCAATCATGACCCTCCTACACATTTGATCTCAACGGTCCTTGTGGCTGTCAGTCTGGAAACTCAGAATGCAAATGGAACCTACTATGCATTAATCTATAATAATGGGTACCTCACATAACATGCATGCGAAAGTATCCATCTAAAAAAGGAAATGAGACTGACCATACCTTTTTCCTATCCCAGCTGCTTGTTCTTCAATGAATACGATCTGAGACAGAGGTACAGCAATGCAGCACTCCTGGAACAAACACCACAAACACAGGTGAATTTAAACCATATCCTGTCTGTTTATTCTCTAAACCCAAGCATTCTCTCCCCATTTCACAAACAGTATGGATATCTGCAAGTGCTACCTGCAGCACTCTGTGAAAAATGAGGGTCAGAATAGAAACTATGCATTACAGTGAAACATATGTAGAAGAATAACACAAACTTGAAACTGAGTTCTAGTTAATTACAAAACTGCAACAATTTAAGTGTCAATGTATCAACTTAAAAAACCTCAAGCTAGATTTATAGMAGGATCTAGGAGATTTAACACATCTTTAGATCTAGATTTAAAATTAAAACATTAGAATTTCCACACTACTGCAGCTTATCTCTGTAAGTGCACAATTCTCACTGGGTCTTGACATTTTTGCATTGATGTTGCTTTGGGAGCTAAAAAAATATCTAAAACCATCAGTCTTTTTAAATGCTGAATATCTAAAATCTAGACTACTATCTTGAGGGCAATAGGAATACATAATCCAGCAGTTGATGCATCTCAACACACATTTATTGGACCATGCTTTGGACAAAACAAAGAGAAATAAACAAGATTGTATTCACCTGCTGGAGACTAACGTACCCCAGGCTAAACTCTTTCTAAATGTATTTGAAATAGAAATTGCAAAATGAACAATTCAAAGCATCTAATCAGGTGCCTTAGTCTTGTTTTAGTGAATATTCTTTGAGAAACATCATCTCCCACACAATAGCTTGGTGATTGACATAATGATTGACACATGGAATGAGGAAAACACAGGTTGCAATCCGTTTCTGAACCTCTCTCTTCCATCTGCCACTGCCTAACACCAGTTTACAATGGACACTGTTACAGGGCACTCTCAATTTCTACTGCCAAAATTGTTCCTCTTTCCATGGAATAATTAAATACCCACTAAGTTGAGAGCAGGGAATTATACATGCAGGAACCCTAACTAGTAAGTGACTCTCTTACTGGGAAAAAAACCTGGGTTGTACTTCCTTTTTTAAAAATTTCTAATGCAAGCTATCTAGACTCTTCTGTGACTCTAGTTTTTAAAGCCACTACAAACAGTCACTGTTTATAAAACATTCACAAAGTTCTGAACACTTTAAAAGAYAGGCAGTATGACACTTCCGTTAAAAAACATATACTGTCAAAGCAATTGATTCCTTTAGCTCAATGACAGAAAGTTGTGAACTCATTTTAAGCACAAGGACTTAGAATCACTTCTTCCTGGTGAGAAAAGCTAGAGGAAGGGATACAAAAATAGAAATGTGGTAAATTTGCTGTGTGTTTATTTGGATTTCTTCTTCTAATGTCTCATGCTCACATTTTGCATGATTTTATCATTCAAGATGTTGTACAAATCTAGCTATGTAGCAAACTTTACAGAATTCTTTTTTTTTAATCACTGTTCTACTGCACATAAAAACAGGAGCAATAAAACACAGCTGTCTGTGTTTCTGTAGGAATATTTGCTATGTTAACCTAACAAGAAGTGCCCCATTTATCATTATTGATTGCTGACACAATAGAAGGGGAATCTCTCTACAAATTTATTCTAGGTAAACTAGAATAAAGGTTTAAATAAACTAGGTAAGGTTTCYATGTTTAACATTAACCCACAGCTGAGCTTAAACAACTCACCGTGAAAATGAAAGGGTATCATGCTCCCCATATTTCAGTCCTGAGAGCTAGAAAATTAATCAGCTTTATTTACCACACTAACAAAAGTTAATTYCATCTCCTAGTCAGAACTGGGTAATTTTTGCCAATCATCTCCAGGCCACRTCTCTGCCTCTTCTGATAATCAAGCCTGAGCTTGTCAGAACCTTTCATTAATCAAATTAGTTAAAATAAAATTATTAACTTCTTCTCCAAGGTTTTTCCTCTGCTGATTTAGGGAATTCAATGACCTTGGAAGAGTACAAGAAATCACGTGGCCCAGGAGCAGAGGGAGAACTTGGAAAAAAAACACAAATGTAATCTTTTTGTTGGAAACGAGGATATGGTCGGTTCTAAGACTTGCGGAAGCCATTATGCCCCTTGTTACTCCAAGCGTGCAAAAAGTCCCAGATGTGTGTAAAACAATACTGCCACCAAACACATCCTATTACCAAATCATGGGACTATATGGTGGGAGCAGAAGACTGGAAACTGAGACTTGAAACAAGAAAAGGCTTTCCTAAGCAATGAGCATGGGAAAGACCATCACATTATGATTTGCCTGACACATTCAACTTCAGTCAATATTTTTTAGTGTTACAATGTTTTTTAGTTATACCAGGCTCTTTACTGCTTTTTTTTTCTGTGCCATAGAACAGGAGAATTTACAGGATTCATTCCTATCCCTTCTCATCTCTGCATGATTATTTTATTAAAGCAGGACAGGGTGAAAGAACACTACATAATCTTCTTTCTGTTGTGAGCCAAAAAGTGGACTATACTTGTAAAACAACACACACAAAAAGGCAGGAAAAATCTCTCCATGTGTAAGCTTTTCATTGCAAGCTAYTTGTTGTTTATTATGGAATTTACAAATGAATGACATACAAGAATCAAAAGTGGGACTTACATGATTCTTCTGATCCCTCCAGATCAGTCTGTGTGTGCTCAGCAGTAAAACTCCACTATCAAATTTCACCTGGACAGGAAAAATAAAACAGATCAACAACAAACTGAACCAGTAAGTTCCATAAATACTGATCTTGGAAAGATTACAYCTTACCACAATCAGCAATCAGATTTAACAACCCAGTATTTTGAGAACACTCCCTTTTTTCCAGAAAACAAAATACATGAAGTTGAGGAAACAATGGAGAAAATTAGTATAAAAGGATTAGATGGATAAACACAAACTTCCTTTTTCAAGTGTATAAGCTTTCCCCCCGGAAATCCTGAAGGATCCTCCCTCCATATACTCTGCAAGATATACAAACRTTTTAAAATGTATTTTAAACAGGGCTACTGGCTTTGGAACATCCATTAGATGCTGACAAAGAAGGTAGAAGTTATGCAAAAAAGCAAAGCAACTTAATAAAAAGATGCTGTACACAGTCTGAAATCTTCCATCCTATCACGAAGGAATATTGCTTCTATCTGTGTTACTGTTAAMAAGCTCTTTACTTATCAGACAGCAAACAGTACCTGGAAAATGTGCATTAGCAAATTGTTTCCTCCTTGTACAATCTGAGGCACATTTTCACAGCTTTTTGTGAGGGCATGCAATTACTGTAGTGTGGGAAAATTGAGAATCAGTCCAGCAGTGAACTGAAGCAATAAATAGGATGGCTCAGAACAGAGCAGAGGGTATCAGCGATCAGAGCTCAAGAGTATTTTGCCAGAATGACTCAAGTGTAAATTGTGCATYATATTCTCTATGACACCAAAGATAGGGCACAGCCCCATACAGAAGTGACAGCCTGAGCAGTGGGACACTGGCCACATCCTGTGGGAGTCCTGTGGGGGTCCCAACCCTCAGCCCACATTGCACACACTATCCAAAGCCTTTCTCACAGAATCACAGAATCAATTAAGTGGAAAAAGACCTCTCGGTTCAACCTTTGACCCAACAACCCCACGTCAACCAGACCATGTCTTGAGTACCATGCCCAGTCTTTCCTTAAACACCATCAGGGACGGTGACTTCACCATCTCCCAGGGCTGTCCATTCCAACATCTAACAGCCCCTTCTGTTACGGAATTCTTCCYAATATCCAACCTAAACTTTCCCCTAGCACAGCTTAAGGCTACTTCCTCTTTTCCTGTCACTTGCTGCCTGGGAGAGGACACCGGCCCCGACCTGGCTCCACCCTCTTTTCAGGCAKTTGCAGAGAGCAGTAAGGTCCCCCCCGAGCCTGCTCTTCTCCAGGCTAAATAATCCCAGCTCCYTCAGCTGCTCTTCTTAAAACGTGTGCTGCAGACCCTTCCCGAGCTCCGCTGCCCATCTCYGGGTTCGCTCCAGCCCCTCAGTGTCCGTCCTGAACTGAGGGGTCCAGAACGGAACACAGGACTCGGGGCGCGGCCTCACCAGTGTCGAGTAAAAAGGAACAATCACCGCCCTGGTCTTGCTGGCCACACTACCACTGATACAAGTCAGGGCGCCATTTGCCCTCTCGGCAACCTGGGCACACTGCTGGMTCACRTTCAGCCGGCTGTCGACCAGCACAGCCCCTCAAAGCCTGGAACTCCGCCCTAATCTCCTCACAGAGGCAAGCCTGGCGCAGAACGTCCTCTCACACCCCCGATSGATGCTCCGCCTGCAGTCCAAGCCCTCCACACCCGTCGTGTGGCGCCCCTCACCCAAGAGTACCCCTACTCAGAGCCCTACTACCCCCTTGCCTGGGGCCCAGGGCCACGTCCTTTACCCTCCCCCCTCGCTCCAGCCGCTCCGCCAGGCCCCACGCAAGGCCGCTCCAGCGCCCGTCACCTTTTCCTCCCCGTCGCTGAGTCGCACGCCGCGCTGCTGGATCACCAGCGTCTCCCCCATCTCCAGCAGCCCGGTGGTCCACGAGAACCTGTCCATGGCTACCCTTCCCCTGCCGCACCGGGCCGCGGCCGCCGGGCTCCCTCTAGCGGCAGCCCGGGGAGCGGCCGCCATGTTCCCCCCCCGGAGCGGCGCGGGGGCAGAGCTCTCCCGCCATTGGTCAGTTCAAGCCCCGCGGCCGGGCCAGTCAGGGAGGCGCCGGGCGATTCAAACGCTCCTTGAGCGGGGACCATGGCGGCGCGCACGGCTCCTCAGCTCCCGGCTAGCCGCAGATCGGAGCCTGCATTCCGCGGTAAGGCCGGGACACCCAGGCACCGCAGGGCACTGAGGGACTGGGTCGCTTCTCGTCGCCGGTCGCCCGCCCGCCTGCCTGCGCGGGGCCGAGCGTTACCGGCCGCTGTCGCAGCCTCGCGCATCGCCACGGCGGGTGACAGGGCAGCCGGTTGGAGAGAGGAGCTGTGCGCTCTCCGGGCGGTGGGAGGTGAGGGTAGGTGTCCCGGACGAGGTCGGACACCGGGAAGATCTTGGCAGCAGCGCTCGCTGTCGTGGTCTTAGAGCTTGTGAGCTCCGAGTCCGAGACTTCACCTTCCCTTGGCGGGGTTGGGGCTGGTGCGGACCCCATTCCATCCGTCCTATACCTGCCTCAGAGAGGGTTCCTGGGGTGGAAGCCTTCCTTCCTGACAAGGGACGCCCTGACGTTAAGAGCATCCCCTTGAAAACAGCAGGTACACCGCCGACCTGGACTCCYGCTCTTTTGGTTATTTAGTTTCTGACAGGTTCATCTTCTGCAAGTTTAAGCAACGGAGCTGCTTTGGTGGTGCTTTGCTGTTTGTGCGAGGGGCGGTGAGAGACATTTTTGAAGCAAAAGTTGCTGGGAGGCTCTGGGATGCACGCCCAGCTCCCCGCCGAGCTTGCTGCTCTTGGCGGGTKCTCCGGCGCTGTACGAGTTGTGGTAGCTCCTTGGGAAGCAGATGATGGACACTGCCTTCTGTATGCTTTGTCCAGAGAAGGTCAAAGAGCTGGGAAAGCATCTGGAGCACAAGTCCTGTGAGAAGGGACTGAGAGAGAAAAGGAGGCTCAGGGGGGACCTTATCTCTCTACAACTGCCTGAAAGGAGGGTGTAGCCAGGTGGGGATCGGCCTCTTCTCCCAGTTAACACGTGACAGGACAAGAGAACATAATCCGAACCTCTGCCAGGGTTGGCTATTAGGAGAAAATTCTTGACAGAAAGGGTGATTAGGCATGGCAGTGGACTGCTCAGGGTGGAGTCACCATCCCTGGAGGGACAGTGACTGATGTTCTTAGGGTCTTTTCAGGATCACTTTGTGCTGTTAACAACATTACCAGTAGTCTAACATTTGCACAGATGCCCGAGTGACAGTGRAAAAGAAGCAAATTGTTTTACAGGTGATCAGCTGGGTTCATGTGCACGGTGTTTTTCATGTATGCTGTATTTGCTACTGCCACAAGTGAAAAGYGTGCTTGCTGGACCAACAGTAACTATGTGAAATGCTGGGCAGGCATCGTGAAGATGAAGGAGCAAGCCTGACTTCTTCACATCACAAAATTGTGTTTCTTTTAGCCTAATAAAGCACACCAGCCATCTAGTGTAGCTGTGAAATTACATTCAACCATCCCTTGATTATGGCCTTTCTCAAGAAATGTGAGAACATGTAAGACCTTGAGATATGAATACTAAAGACTTTCTTAATTTATAATGTTTATATTTCGTAATCCCTTGATGCTTTTCTAGCTGCATTTCCTTCTTGACTGTGAAACAAAATTTGGCATCGCTATTTTAGGTGAAGATTAAATAAGTCTATCTTTTYTAAAATCCACTAGAACAAAGACGACAGAAAGTTGAAGAATATCTGTCGAGAAAGAAGAYCTTTTCAGGTGTGCCCATTCAAGAAAATCAGAAATCAATCAGGTAATATTCCTGATATGGCTTACATTCTCTTAATTTTATATTCACTAATGTTTCTTCATTTTCATCTCATCTGGCTTCCCTAAGATCATCTGATGCAAAGATACCACTTGGTAACTACAATGTTYATTGTCAGTCACATGCGATAGTGACACATCCTATATATAACACATCACAAAGCACTTGATGAAGAGTTTGGATTTGTAACCTTAAAGTGAAATGTTTTTCTTCTGAGTTGTCAACTCATTTTCATAGTTGCTAGGAGACAATACTGGTTTTGGTGGTTTTGTAGCTTTCTGGATGCCAGCTCTGGTGCCTGACTGAGGGTTTTGGACCTTGTCAGGGTGGTAGGAACTACTTGTCCTTGTTCAGACTTGTCTCAAATGGCCTGGGCTCATGACTGTAATAGCAGAGCTTCAACTCACTGTGCTACTACCCCTTTCCCCTCAACTGCAGCATTTAGAAACTTGACCTTCTGTAGCAGATATGTCAGATCAGACAAGTTGGTAYGCACTCTTGAACATGAGAAATTACACCTGCAGTAAATTCCAATCTGTTAGACAGCTCTTTATGGTGTAAGAAGGGATGTTTTCCTGCCTGGGTCCCGATCAATGGTTGCTTAACCATTTGTTTTTGCTGGAGGAATGGTACAAGCTACTCTTCAATGCTTCAGTGTGAGTTCAGCTTGCAGACTGCCAACTGAACCATCCTCTAAAAATACATTCCTTTGTTGCATGATTTAAGATACCTTTTTTTTTGGTTTTTTTTTTTTTTAAATTGGCAGCAGAACTAGGAGAGTAACTAGAAGTGAACTGCAAGACAAGTTACAGCCCCCAACATCTCCAAAGCCAGAAATGGTAAGTTTTTAACTGATATTTAAATAACAATGGCACTCTGTTTCCTTGGCTACAATATTCTACTTACTTGAATCATATCTATGTTGTATGACTTTCAGAGCATGAGAAGCTTGCAGGTGGAAAGGTGCAGTTTGTTGAGACTTTTTTCGGTCACTGCTTATTATATACTTTTGGAAAAGCTGTCACATTACAATCAGTAATGGATCATATTGATATTCAGTTTGTACCCAACAGAAGACAGGGGTAGAGATGATACTATTATTGCTGAAATGATGCTTAAATTTTAACAACTTTTCTCAAGACTCTTAGATTTTTTTTTTTTTTTGCTGCATTTTGAGTCTTCATGGAATTTATTTAAAATTTGACTAAGATATTCTGTCAGAATAAAATAAATTATATTTGTACTCGGATACTTATAAGAATGCCAAACCATTAACAAACTACCAGTTGAGTGTGTATGGTTTTTCAGTTATGTGTTGGCAAAACTAATCAAAAATAGATGCCAATACCYAATCAGAGTTTAAGGGAATGTGTTCCCTGCATAATTTTATGTCACTTTCCTGGAATTAAGATGCAAATGGTTGTGCTACTTAGAAAAATGCAAAATAGAGATTCTTTTCCAGACCTGTTCTCAAGGAAAGGTGAGGAAAAAGTAAACATAAGACCTATGTTCATTTTAGATAGTATTGAGTTTGGGGTTTGAAAGATTGGAGACTTGGAGTTACTTGAGGAGAAAAGCAAAAAACTTAGAACTTCAAAACTGAACATTGAGGAGGAAAATTCCAAAGGCAAGAATAAAAGTGTCGAGTGTTTTTTTAGAAATTTCCTGAAGGGACATACTTTGGTCTGTATAAACGTCTTGTGTGATTTTTAAAGTTGAGTTAAGCTACATAATTTCCTGAAATAACAGTCCTCACACTCAATCTCTAGTTATGTAGGCTTTGTTAAATCTAACTACTAAGCCTCAATGACAGACCAGGTAATGAGATGCAATGTAGTTTTCTTACAGGTCAAAGATATCTTCCTTAAAGTCTGCTCCTGCAGATTTCCATGTGTCATTCACATGTTATTTTCTACCATTGGATATTTCACTCTTCCAAAAGCTGCTGTTTGGACAATGCTGAATTAGGTGCTGTAGAGCATCTTTTTTGGAGGAAAAGACTAGACTCCATTTCTCATGAGGAGCTGTGCTGAGAACATACAGCTGAGTTCCAGTAAAGTCATGTAAAACTGATGTAACTTCTCAACTTGCAGCATTCTGTAGCTCAATAGTTAGAAAAATTCTCCCTCTTCTGGTAACATCTCCTAGTGCCCTAATTGCAGGCTTTACTCCCTCCCATGTGTTAGTAGACTAGCCACACCAAGTGAAGGAAAGGTGCTGCCATTAAGTGATGAGGTATGCAAACAGAGATACTGCTTTTGACTATATATAGACTATAGCAAGTTTTTACTTCATACCTCTTCTTAAAAGTTAAATTGAGCAGTTAAAAGCCAGCAGTTGCTCTTAGAGTTTTGTTTCTTACTTTCAAGGCAGAATTTAAGCAATTTTTATTTGAGTTTTGATGTGAATTCTGCAGTAATAGTTGGCAAATCCTCTACTCAATATTTATACATCCGTGGGTGCTTTTTAACTGGCATTTACTACTAAGCACTTTAAATCAGTGGAAACCTCTTTGRAAACAACATGCAGCATGAACATACTTCTAACATTTCCATGAATTTGCTTCTGATTTCAGGAAAATAAAGAGAATGCCGATAAGTTGTCATGGGACCAATCAACCGTAAGCTCAGAAGCAAATGTTACTTTAGACTCTTCCACAATCCCACTTAAAAGTTATGTATCAGGGACAAACTGCAATCTTGAAGGTCAAGCTCCAAAGAATAAAGCTATTGCTATAAAATCTCAGCATGTATCACTTAGCAAGGCCTTAATGGAATTAAAAAGAATTAAAGAGAGGCATTTGATAGGAGAAAACCAAAATGCAAGTATCAGCGTACCAAAGAAACCACCTCTTGGCAGATATCGTGGCAAAGTTATCCAATCCAAGATCAATTCTTTCCGAAAAGCAGTAAAAAGTGAGGGGGAGGAGAGTTCTTTTCCAGACAAGAAGCTAGCTCCTTCTGCCATCAAACAAGCAGCAAATTCTTTGTCCATGAAAGGCAATAGTGTAGTGCTGAAGGCCATCAAAATCTCAAACAGCCCCAAGTCTGTAAAATCAAATGGTGTCCTGCCATTTCACAGCAAACCATCTGACAAAGCTGCTACTAACTCACAATCTGGTCCGAAGAAACAGCTGACATTTGCTGTGGCAACAAAGAAAGTAACAGTCCCAAAAGTGGTTGATGGAAAGGGACCACTGCCATTGAAGGCTGCTTCTCGCAATCCTGATCTCAGAGTGCGGGGCGTGAAGAAACATGCAGGTTTTTGTGAAGATGCAGGATCAGAAGCTCCAGCAAAATCAACTTCTGTTGTTCCTGGTACAAAATCAGGACAGAATTCTAAAACTGATGTCAACAGAAAATCTATTCTGCCCAAAGAGTCAGCAGAAGTGAGAAGGTAACTAAGTTACTGTTGTAGCTTGATCTTGGAAGTTATTCAGGATTTTTCTCCCAGAATATCTAGTCTGATCTATTTCTTGCTGTATATACTCTGAAAAATAGAAAGCTTAATCTTTGGACTTGACGCCCAAGGACAGCAGACTAAAACTTTAGACTTAAACTTAGAAATCGAGATTCAAACTACTTGCAGCAGGTCTGCAGGCTTACAACTTGTCCTGTTAAAAAATGGATGTTGCTGGAGCTGTTTTTTAGTCTAAGTATTGTGACAGCCTTATGCATGACAGATAATTGTGTAAATTAATTTCATATGCATGTCACAGTTTAAAAAAAATACTGAGGCAGGATGTATATAGAAAGGAGCATCTTTACAGAAGGAGAGCACTTGTCAGGGACATTTTTCAGTTTGGTGAATGCAGCATGGACAATGGGTGGGAATATGATTCACAGCCTAGAAGTTGTTTAATATTCCTCATATAGAGCTCCTTGTAGTAAGTCACATTTACTAAAAATTGATGGTCTAGGGAATGGGGTTGAAATGAAATATTAAAACTGAATTACACTTCAAATCAGTTTCAGATTTTATAAATTGTGTGATAGGGTTTTTCTGGGTTGCTCTCCATGCTTTGTGTCTCAAGAGATTCATTTCTGGTTTTTCATCTGGAAGTGGGATTGGGGGGGAAAATGGTGACACAGATGAATAATTCAGAAGCATTTTTTTTACTTTCTTTTGAAAACAAGGGTCTGTAACCTAAGTGTCTTGTTGCTGCTGGAAGGGAAGACATTAAAGTGTTCCTACCTGATACATACCTGAAGCAGACAGTAATATGAATAGTTCTGAATTGTCCATGCAGATCTAAAAGTACCTTTATTCCTTTTGGGATTAAAAGAAGACTCAGACTATCTGGAAAATATATCTTTGCATGGCTTACCCTAATTACTGTCAGTCAATGTAAAAAATGATAAAACATCTGTCACTTCAGCGCRTAATATTCCTAAATGCAGAGCTCGCCTGGATGAATGGAGGGCTTCCAGAGGAAAAGTGATGAGACGACCTCCTACATATGTATTTCTGGAACCCCAGTGTAAAAGTGAAGAAAAAGAATTCTCTGCTGCTGAAACAGAAAAGGTCAACAAGACTCTGAGTGAATGCCTGCAGTTAACAGAACAGGTACTTGGAGCCCTACCTACTTAATTCTGGTCGTATAGGTCCTGACAACCCATAAATTCTGTGGGCATGCTAGACCTTTGTCAATCAGATTCAGGGGACTAACTGTTTCCCAAGTCAAGCAATATGGCTTTTGCCAACAACTGAAGAAAGTGCTGACTATTCAATACCAGCAATAACGGTAATAATAGTAATAGGACTATAAACTAAGAGTAGCTAGAATGAATTAATGTAAAACAAGTTTGCATTTGCAGAAACTTGTCTGTACTTTTGAAAAACTCTGTTTCAAGTAGTTCTGAAGGTGTCTATACATCTTACTACTCCTTCTAGATACAATAGTGTATAAATAATTCTAATTTTGAAGAATAGGTGAATAACAATTCTGACAAAGGAAAAGAAAAACTTGCTTTCTGGTTCAAAAGCAGGGAAACTACAGCGTCTCAATGTGTCAGTTGCATTTAAATATCTAGTTTTGTGTTGATTTTAGGGACATCAAGGTGATGAAGTACGTGCCATGTTGGAAGACCTGAYGCAGAGCATTCCTGGTGTTAAAAAGTTTGCAAAGTATTGGATCTGCTGTATGCGCCTTGAGCAGATTGGCCCTCTTGAAAAGCTTATTGCTGTCTATGAGGAGGCTATTTTGGCAGGAGCAACGGTGAGGAACTTTCCTTAAAATTTGAGACTAACAATTAACAAGGATGAAAGTATGACATGTAAAATACAAAAAATACAAAAACTTCTGATTTTAATAAATACCTTTATAGTAGGAACAGAGCAATATGACCTAACTGACCATTAAAATAATGGAYTTGGTTTGCTCTGTAACCATGGCAGATACTACTTTAAAGAAGAAAGGTTTAAGATCATCATATTATCCTGTGATGTTCTGCCTGGAAGGATTTAAGGACTGAGACTTCTAGTCCCACTAGCAATCCAAAATAGAACTTAATTTTACACTTTCCAAGGGACTTCATATCTGTGCTTTAATATCAGCAAGATTTCAGGGCATCAAATACAGCTTTAGCACACCAAATATAGAAAACACTTGGAATACACAAGGATTCACTTGTTTTCTGACTTCAGTCTGAAGAACATTAAATAAACAAACATTATCTGGCCTGCTCCACTGTCYCTGTAACTACTGTACCAATCTAATAAGCTGAAATTATAATTAATTTTGGAATTGTTTTTCTAAAACAGTGCAATTTTTTTTCAGCCTAAAGAGGAACTGCGACACATATTAATAGACATAATAAAAAATACTGAAAATCTTTTTAACTCTGAGAATGGTAAGTCTAAGTACCCTATTCTAGTTATATGCCTGATTTGACAGGCAACACAAGCTTTTAAAACTATTTGTACTGATATAAAATTTATTTCATGGAAAATTTTCTGCGACCATTTTATACTTAATTGTCTTTGAAAACAATCTTGGCAAAACAAATTCTTTTAAACATGGGCATGTTAAAATGATAGGAGATGCTCTTGTATTCAAACTTGTTACTTAAGCTTTATCAAAGCTGTGTCATCCAACAATTTCAGCCTGATAAAGGGTAAATAGAAATACTCCTGTGAGCCAAAAATTAGCGCCTCTGACACAAACTCCTTCACTACCARAAGTGTGGTTGTGTTATGGGGTAGTGTCAATTAAAGACTGTAAATATTCTAATTTTGGAAGTAAAGTAGCCATGAATATTCCCCTTCAATGTAACATAACCTTTCAAGTATATAAACCCAGAAAATGGCTGAAATACTTGTTGTGAAGTACTGCGTTTTAAAAGGAAGAGAATGCCTTTTCAGGATGTGTACTTAGCCTGAGCTTGCAGATTGCAGATTCTTAAAGGTGGCTAAAATTATCAGTAACTTAAACTGTTGTGGCTCAGAATCAATGCATACTTACCTGAAATCTTAGAGCCCTACATGAGAATAAAAGTTATCTCTAAAACATTTTCTTTGTAACTAATTGCAGCTGTACTTTCTAAAATGCTTTATTTTTAGGGGGAGCTGTGATAGAAGCTCATTTAAGTGAGGTAGTGGAAGTCGGCGAGGAACCAAATTCATCTGTAGAGCCGGTTCATGAAATCTTGGAGGATTTCTGCCCTGATGATGACCAAAAAGCAGAGAGTGATAACAAGGAGGCAGAGACAAGCAGTGAGGTTATCAAAAAAGAAGAACTTGATTTAGACTTAAAATCAAGAGGAGGGAGCTTGCCAAAAAAGAATAAAAAGCACAAGGCTAAAGAACGGGCAAAAAAGAAAGGAAAATGCGAAAGAGAGCAAAATGAGGATGGGATAAAGAATATAGCCCAAGCAGTTAATTCTCCTGAGAAAGAGAATGACACATCTTATTCAATTATATACAATCCTCCTACCACACCTTACTTAGAAAGGTAAGATTACTACAGGTAAGCATGGAAAGTGTCTGCAGTAACAATGCTGGTGCTGTTGAAACAGGGAGGCACTGCATTTATGAATACCTAGTTAAAAGCTCTCAAAAACAACATTTTTTGGATCACTTTCTCTTCCTTTAGAAGGAAGTAATGTTAAGTAAGCTCCTCTGTTTACTCTAACTGTTTTGCTTTTTGAGTGGTTCACTASAGAGTAAGCAGACTTTTGTGGCAGAGACCTAAATTCCAGATTTAGGATTCCGTCCCACTGCCAACATGGCAGTAGCAGTTCTACACTGAGCTAGATAAAGTAGGTGTCTCCAGTCCTCCCCTTTTCAAATGCAGATGAGAATGCATGTCATATAACAGAGAATTGTTGAACAAGATGTAACTGTCCTGTAAAGATTATCTTAATTGCACCTTGAGGCAAAAACCTGGGCAGTAACCTCAGTACAAATTAACTAATACTTAAATTTATTTTTTTTTTTACTATAAGTTTTCTTCTAGGATAGCAGACATAGGGAAAGTTGTGCTCAGCTTTGACATCTGATGGAGTTGGAATCCCGGCAGCTGTCCACTGTCCCTCATAGCAGGAAAAACAGCTTCCCCCTGATGGAATAGGAAAGAATCTTTCTTTGGGAACTTTTTGGGAGGTTTTCTGGGTTAAAATATCTTGCCCAAGAAAAGAGTTGTACATCTGGTTTTAACTGGATGAATGGGAAAGGGCCTGTTTCCTTTTGGCTATGGGAATGGGAAAGAGTTGAACAGGAATCATGATTTGCTGTTTCTGCCAGTTGCTGCAGAGATAACTTGTGTGATGGTGTGCCTATGTTCAGTGTTGGGTTTTCTTTCCTAAGTGGGAAGATGCATCCTGAGGCAAATGTCTGCAGTGCTAAAGCTCTGCAAATTGCAACTCCTCTGCGATATTCTCAACGCATTCGGGAGAAGATGTGGAAGCTGTCTGATGTTAAAGATCAAGATCCATGTGTCTCTTCACTTGAGCAGCTGGGAGACTTGGAATCAAAAGCGACTGTGTTTATCAACAAACAGAGCAATGCTCTCCAAGAAAAAAGCGCTGAAATAGAAGAATAGAAGTACTACTGCTGCTACAGGGGGTTAAAGATTTGATACAGGGAGTTTRGGGGTACTTGTTTTTAATAGCTTTGAGAAAGGCACTGTCTAAAACTTGTGTGCATGGCTTGAGCTGAAATTTGACTGCCRGAGTCACTAAGTAAAAAGTTTTTAAGTTGCTGCCTTTTGAAAATTGTAACAAATCAGTCCTGATTTAGTACTAGGCTTGTTGCCTTCAACTATCTTTCATTATATTTTTATTTAGGTACTAGGTGTAATGCTTTATATTAGTAGTTCATTTAGAATATTGCTAATGTTGTTGCAATTCCTAAGAATTCGTTAGAAACTCACCATCTCATAGTTTAAGAAAACAAAATAGGTGTTCTAATAGGGCAATGTCTGCTCTGACAAGGTTTAGCTTTGAAAACTGAAGACCCCTGGTAAGGTGTGTGCTGAATTTCAACTGTTGCATCTGATTTTAGGGCTGCTTTAACAAAACCGAATTATTATTCTCTTTAGTTACTGAGATTTTGTTTATTATCAAGTAATCCTAGATGAGGTATGATACACTACATACTATGTGACAGTGTTTATCTGGCTTTGTATTAGTCTGGTACTCTGGTTCACTTATTAAACATATCAAGTTAGTTGTGTTTGTTATTTATTTAAAGGCTAAAAGCTATTTAGTCTGTTCTTGAAAGCGAGCTGCCAAAGCGGTCCCCTGACCCATCTCCCATTCAGGCCCCGCTGAGTGTTTCCGCGCCCGTTCAGCGGAGCAGCAGCGCCAAGCCCTCCGGGCCGCCACGGCCGCTCCCGCCGCGGGGCGGGCGGGGCCAGCGCTCCCGCCCAGCGGTGTTTCCGCGCCCGTTCAGCGGAGCAGCAGCGCCAAGCCCTCCGGGCCGCCACGGCCGCTCCCGCCGCGGGGCGGGCGGGGCCAGCGCTCCCGCCCAACGCTCCCGCCCAGCGCTCCCGCCCGGCCTCGGAGCCGGCGCCCTCCTCCTTCCGGATCCTCTCCCCAACCAGGCGCGGGCAGCCTGGAGCGAGCCCCGGGGTTCTCCTAGGGCCTCGCCTGAGGTCTCGGCCCGGCCCGCTGAGGTGAGTCCGCGGCGGGGCTTGAGGGGCTCGGGGCGGGCTTGAGCTGCTCCTCGGCAGGGTAAAGGAGCCGTAGGAACAAAAGAGCTCATCAGCACTTTAAAACACTATGCGCACAGGCATGTACATAAAGAGGATGTTTGAATTACGGCCAAACCACTTAACAGCACCGCCGTTTGGAAAAAAGGATAACAGCCCCCTGCTGGATGAGACATCCTCCAGGAGATGCCTTTTTAGCAGGAGGTGGGATCGTRTGAGTTTCAGCAGCTGGGGGAGGTTTCGCAGGGGTGGGACKGGGCTCGGCGGTGGAGGAGGGGACRCGRTCTTATATATGCCATGGCAGTTGTAGGTCGGACATCATAAAGGTTTTCTTCACAGAAAGGGTGATTAGAAATTGGAATGGGCTGCCTACGTGGGTGGTAGAGTCACCATCCCTGGAGGTGTTCAAGAAGGGAATGGATGTGGCACCGAGGGCCATGGTCTGGGGAACATGGTGGTGTTGGGTTATGTATTAGACTTGATGATATCAGAGGTCCTTTCCAACCTCATTGATTCTGTGATCCTGTGCTATCATCTAAATGCAGTGATAGGACAAGTGGGAATATTTCAAAAGTAGACGAGGGAAAGTTTACACTAGACATTAGGAAGCACTTATTTACTGAGRGGGCAGTTGAACCATGGAACAGACTTCTTGGAGAGGTGATCAACACCCTCACCCTGTGAGTGTTCAAGAGGTATTGGCACTATGCCATTATCAATGTAATTTGACTTTGGGTCACCCCTGAAATGGTCAGGCATTTGGACCAGGTGACCATTGGGGGTCCTTTGCATCTAGAATATTGTGTATCTTCGAGTCGTTGAAGTCATTGCACAGTGACTTTTACCAGTTTGAGCCTGCTTATGCTGCTTTAGGTGAGAATTGTCCCTGGAAGCTTTAAGCTTGTTTGTGTTATTATACCTGTGAGTTTTCATTAGTGTTATGAAACCAGTTGCAGGAGTGTAGATAAGAAAAAGATGATGTGAAGTTGTAGGTCTATAACTGACATTTTTAAGAGCTTTAGCATTTTAAATTAAAAAAAAAAAAACAAAAAAACCAAAAACAGAAATAACACTGTAATGATGTTCTTTCTGGAGATCTCATTTTCAGTAAAATTGTGGTAACAGTGCATGRAGGTATGTCATGGTAATGCTGGACAGCTGTAGGTGCGCACCTTTCTTGTTATTTAATTTGGCTTTTTTCATGCAGGTTATATTAAGAGAAAAATTTAAAGAGTRTTAAGGTTATGATAAAGTTTAGAAGATAATATTGTGGAAGAGGGTGCTTGAAGAAAAGTGTCRGAACTGAATTTATAAAGAATGGAAGGATACGACACGTTGAAAGTACTAGGAGAGGGATCCTTTGGCAGAGCTCTCCTGGTTCATCATAGAATCAGTGACAAGAAGTATGTAATGAAGGAAATAAGGCTTCCAATGGTAAGTGTGACACAAAAATCACCTCATGGACCACTTAAAAAATAAATTAAAAAATCATAATTTTGAGTGTATTTTTGAAATGCTCAACACTTTTGCTGAGAGTCTTGTAGGGTATGCTTACTGTATAACTACATCTTGAGTTGTAGTGAAGAGTTGCACTTAAGTGAAGTGCACGGTTAGATTTTGGGGTTTTGGAAAATGTAGCAGGTATGAAGATGCTTAGAATGAAACCCCTGTTCTCCCTGATGCCCTTGGCTCAATTGCCCTTGATTTCACTAAAATGTAAATTTCATCTGCAATGCCTAATAAAGAAATCAGTGACATATTATTGCTGCTAATTGGTTATTTGGGTTACATTCTCTGCACTCAGCTAAGCTATAAGTCAAAATGGGACGCCAAAGCTTAGCTAATACCTGGACACTTGGCTTTATATTGAGTTCATGCAGACAGTCAACTGTTTCAAAGTCAGCATCTGCTGCTTTGTTATACAGTTCTGCACTTTTAAAATAGAAAAAGTCATTAACTGAAGTAGGAAAATATCCTCTCCAATGAAAAAAGAAAGCCCAACAAAATACCAAATACCCAAAAACCCCAAAGAAATCTTCAGCCAGTGATTAACCACAGATTAAAAAGATGGGGCTTTTAAAATTTCTAAATGATTTTAAATAACTGAAGAACAATTCTTAAAAATATGTTTATTTGGAGAGTGAGATACTTTATGTCTATGTGTGAAAATTAATTAGTGTGAAATTTATTATGTCTTTATATTTTTAGTCTTCATCTGGTGTAGAGAATTCTAGGAAGGAAGCTGTTCTTTTGGCTAAAATGAAACATCCAAACATCGTTGCCTTTAAAGAGTCATTTGAAGGTAAGTATTAAAATTTAATTCTTTCATTTGTTTGAAGTTTTTGTTTATAATATGTATTATAAATAAAACACATGTTTATTGTAGCATGTAATACATAGCATGTAGTCAGAGCATAATAATAAAAAGTATTACTTATAGTGAAAAACCAGTACTTATCCRGCTGAAGAAAATACTAATTCTTCTTAAATTACCTAAAATTTAGCTGATGGACATCTGTATATAGTGATGGAATATTGTGACGATGGAGATCTAATGCAAAAAATTAAACACCAAGGACGAAATTTGTTCCCTGAAGACACGGTAAGAAAAGACATCAAGGGGGCTAGGAATCTTTTTTTCATGTAAACTGAAACATGTTGCACAAACTAAATTAGACATATGCAAACATCTCGATGAAACAAAATAACTTAGAATAGGAGCGTTATTACTTTTATAATTTCCAGCAGATCAAGACAAGAATTGGACTGGAAGGAATAAAAAAAGAAATTGCTACTTGTATCTGAAAATTATTCAGATGGTGTGAAAATCAGCCAGGTTTGTATGCAATTAAGTATGAATTTTACACAACCTTCAGACAGAATTTAAAGCGTAGTAAGAGTACTGAAAATAAAACGTAAACAAACCATTCTGGTAAGATAAATAAAGCTTACCAGGAAAATAAATGCCTGCTTTTAATGAATCAATTAAATGTTTAAGCCATTTAGCATGTGCTAGCTCCTTTTACCAGAGAAGCTATACAATTAGTTAGGAGAAGGTTTAGAGTGAATGGAAGCTACTTCCTGCTACAGTTAGGAGCATCACCTTCATTAAAATGAAAGGACCAGAAACCTCAACTAAGTGAATATTTAAAATTTCTGTTCATCTTTAAGAGTTTTCTTTTGTACTTACAAAGGAACACATTTCCTTTTAGAAACAGTACATTATTTCCATGTGAATTTTGTTTTTGTTTGTTATTTGTTGGTTTATTTTTTTAATTCTATTTGCTAATTTACTGTGTAACTCTAGTTAACTTGTTTATAAAATGACCATCAGGTAAAGCACCAGGTAGAGATTCCTCAGCTTCATTATTGTTATATATTATTAAGGCTGTCTAGACACAGATAATAAGCATCCCTTCTGCCATGTTAAAATATAATCTATATTGAAGAACTCAGTCTTTCACCCTGATTAGAAGCTTTTTATGCTGGAGTTACTTGTAGCACCCAAATGTTCTTTTTTTTTTTTTTTAAATCTATTAGTATTCATGATATTGAGCATTGAGCTGTTATAACTCTTAGCTGCTCTTTTTCAGATCCTTCACTGGTTTGTGCAGATGTGCCTGGCTGTGAAACACATTCATGATAAACGTGTGCTGCACAGGGATATAAAATCCAAGGTGAACAGAGCAAGTTCTGTTACCATGAATAAACTATTCTACATGCAAAAGTTAATTCTTTCATAATTTCCTATGACTGTTAAATTCTGCAGTTTATTTTCAGGCCTAAGAATATAATGAAATGAAATTGTTGAGTGCATGGGATGATGTAATGCTGTGGGTGTAAACATCATCTAAGTATGGCTGTATCCTTCATATCCAATTACTGATGGCATCAACTGCTTGTGACAGAYTACATATAATTCAAAATAATTACAGAACTACAAAAAAGTGTGTGGATTATGCAGTCTGCAAAGACCTTTGCCTTATGTTTTCTTCTTTTTTACTCTTCCCTGACAGAAAGAGGGAAATTGAGAAGAAAGTTGGCCCTTAACAGTTTTGAGAACAGCATAGAGATTAAGGCAATTCTAAGTTCTGATTCTTCCTGTGCTACTGATGCTGGGACTTTARACCCATAAAGCCTTTTTTTGTTGTTGTTTGTTTGTTTTTTGTAGAAGTATTAGGAGAAGCAAGTAAAAGGAAATACAAAGATAAAATACCGGAAGTGATTACCACTGTGTTTTCTGTATATTCAAACTGCAGAAATGCATCATAGAAGAATATTTAAGTATGTTAATCTTTGCTCTTGAAATGCAGAACGTCTTCCTCACTCAAAATGGAAAAGTCAAATTGGGAGATTTTGGATCTGCACGCCTTCTTGCTCAGTATGTGGACATACCCACTGATCTCAGTGGTGTTGATTTCTATTTTACCATATTTTGACAAGCAGTAAAGAATTCTTAAATCCTTACTTTTCACCGGGCATTTCTTCTTTGTCGTTTCATTAGTCCGATGTCATACGCGTGCACCTATGTGGGAACTCCCTATTACGTACCTCCAGAAATATGGGAAAGCATGCCGTACAACAACAAAAGGTACTTGTGTTTTCAGTGGTCACAAATAGTGCCTGACTGATGGATGGGGGTTTTTATTGCTGTCTCAATCTGGCTTTGTGGCTTACCCATATTTGTTTCGGAGAAGATACTGACCTGAAGAATATTTACAAAGAGGTAATTATATATTTTCTTAAGATGATAATGTGTAAATTCCTCTTTACTTAAATAGCTGAGAGCACAGTATCTTTAGTYCTGGAAGTTTGAAAACCACTGTGCAGACCTCTGTTCATTTGAGAGAGTAAATATACAAACATAGAAGTGTGTATATGCACAAACATAGGTATATGTTTACATCTTTTTGCTGGTCTTATTTATTGGGGGGTTGGTTGTATTTTTAAGCTCTTCATACCACTCTTGATAATGTAGGGATAATGGCACAGARTGGATTACTTAGGTTTATAGAGCCCAGTTATTCTGGTCTTTATGCAAGAACTGTGATTGATTTTCCAGGGGAGGTAAGAAACCTTCTACAGTTCAAGTTGTTTCATGCTATTCTTGCAAGAAAGGCTTCATTTGCTTCTTGTGCAAATGGCCGTACTCACTTTTGGTGGAAAATGTTGGCCTTTTTTTTTCTCAGTAGAATTCTTTTTGGCAGGGCCAGAATTCCAGCTCTCAGAATTAGGATTGTGTGACTGCCATCTGATTTAAGGGACATAGAATACAAAGGCTTTCAAGTGCAGAAGGATAAATATTGTCAGAGCAAATTGTTTAAGGGACATCCTATGAATAAAGGAACAACTACTACTGTATGACAGTCATTTTATATCAGAGTAATATAATAAGAATAATAAAACAAGCAAGGGCATTTCCACAGGAGAGGTTAAACACACAATTGTATTGCCTTTTATGGTTACTTCTATTTAGCTTATTCAGCTCAGTTATGTACACATATTAAATCTAATGCTTTTAAGCAAGATATTAAATTGTAATTTTTGGCTCAAAATTTTTTATCTTYTTCTATATCTACAGTGATATATGGTCTCTGGGGTGTATTCTGTATGAGCTGTGCACTCTAAAACACCCGGTAAGTACATCTTTATTGCTGTCAGAAACGTTTTGGAATTCCTTGAAGCTTCATTAGCGGYTGTGCTAATTAGCTGAGTTGACTGAAGTGCTTGTTGCTGCTTCCAAAAGAGGGAARTATTGCTCCACCCTTCCTATCCCTCCTCCTGTACTCTGTTTCAGCAGTTCTTGGGACCTACTGGACCCTTCTGTAGAAGGCTTGATTTTCACAGTTAGGAAATAATTGTTTTTTTAATTGTTTAATTTTCCTTAATATCTGTGTTTATTGATCTGGGCTTATTGAGGAGTCCAGCAGCTGCCAGCCTGGTTCCAGGTATCTACAGTTGCAAGACCACTGCATTTTACAGGATCAAGTTAATCACAGGACATGGGGACAAAGACACTCAAAATCTTTGCTAATTAAAATATATTGTGTGCAAGAATAGCAAAATGTAGTGAGCAATAAGCATTTTTTTGCTTGTAAAGGTGATACACCTTTGCTTATTCTTCAAACATGTCACTGTCCAAGCACTATTTGTCTGTTGGAACACTGGGGACATTGATGAATGATTATGTCTTTCTGTCATTTCTGGGACACTATCTTAGTGTTGTTGCCACAATTCTTACATGTTGACTTCTTTTGGCCTCTCTATACCGACACATGGGTAAAACAAGAGGCCTTATCAGGATATGTTTGTTTTGCAGGGAAATGAGATCCTAATTGAGGGTCATTTTGTCTTAGCGCTGCTTACAAAAAACTTTYCTTTCCTTGAGCTGATACTATACCTTGAAATCACAGAACTACAGCATATTCTGAGTTGGAAAGGACCCACAGAGATCAACAAAATCCCAGCTTCTGGCCCTCCACAGGAGAGCCCCAAGAATCACACATATGCCTGAGAGCATTGTTCCAATCCTGTGTATTAGCAAAAGATTTTCCACAGCTGCAAGTGCAAGCTGTGCAAGAGTGTAGATGTTTATACAGATGTGACTGAGTGATAAGGGACCCTGTGCATAGGTGTGTGTTAGCCTCAGTAGGTGTGTGGCAAGTCTTTGGCAGTGTCACRGCTCTTGAGGCAGTGCTGAGAACTTGGGGATTCCAAGGGGGGGAGTATTCTTCCCTTATTCGCAGTGTTGAAAAGATATGTATCTGGTTTTGTGTGATTTTCATGTATGTTCTTTCACAATCTATTAGAGGTGATACAAAGATTACACACTCCATGGCCACTTAGCCCTYGGCCTCCAAGCCATCAGGGTGTACAGCAAGAAAACTTCCTGCATGGGAGCTAGAAGTTCTAAGACATTAGATTTGCAAGAGGATGTTTATGCTTTTACAGTCTACCTTTGATGAATTTTTTTTAATCAAAGTCTTCATATTTCCTGGCTTWCTGTTTCAGTCTTGCACTTTGAGTCCTGCTTTTCAGTTGTACAGGTTATTTTACAGCTACTTTTCACTTTATGCTTAAATTCTGTGCTCTAATTTTAATTTATTTTTAATGCAGTTCCAAGCCAATAGCTGGAAACATCTCATCTTTAAGATATGCAAAGGGTCCTATGATCCACTTCCATCTCACTATTCCTATGAACTTCATTACTTAATAAAACAGATGTTTAAGAGAAATCCCCAGAATCGTCCATCAGCCAGTACTATTCTTGCAAGAGGTTGCTTAACCAAACTTGTAAAAAATTGTTTGCCTTCTGAGGTATGATATTCTTTGTCTCTAGATTTAAGCAATACTTTTTACATCTGATTTTTTTCATTTGTAGTTTGTTAGTATATAGCTATAAAATCTAGTGTTGTGCATGTCCTACTCTAAAGGACATAGACTTGTAGACTTACCAGAAAACTTGAGTTTTTACAAGTGTTTTATTTGAAAATTGAAGTTGGATATTGACCTGTTGCTGATAAAGTTAGATAATGCTAGCTGGAGCAATGCTTTTGTATAGTGAGTCTGTTTTTAACAAATAGCATACACAATAATTTGAAGAGGTTTAAAATTATACAGTACTTGCATCTCTTCATACACATTTCAGATGGCAAAGGAGTTTGAGCGGGTATTAAATGAAACCAAGAAACATGAAGGCAATGCAGCAAGACCAAAGGGTAGGTCAGTAACATTYTTGTTGATGGAAGGAACAGTAAATGTGGGATATTAAATACAGCTTTAACACATTAGCATTATATGTCTAAATCTACTTTTAATTATTTCAAAATCTAGTGTTACTGAACTTACATGGAAGAATGCTTGAAGTATGTAAATTATATTCCAACATAAGTAGAGTGCAAAGCTGCAATATATGTGTTGTAAGTCTTAAGACTTGTGCTAGAAATAAACTTTTCAGATTTAGAATCAGCGAGACTTTTACTAGTTGCATGTATTTTAAATATGATAGTTCTTTCTTTCCCAGAATATGGTAAAGCAAGTTATGTTCATTATTTAATTTTYAGAGAAAGAGTGTTTGACCTTTTCTGTCTGCATAAATTTAGCTACACCACAATTTGTGCACATTTGGAATAGAATAGTAGCGGGCCCTCTGTTGAAAATGAGCTCTTCTGTCAGAAGTGTGAAGAGGCCATCGCATAATTATTACTTGGTTCAATGGCGTTGCTATACCTCTGGAATATCACTTTACTACAAATGTTTGCTAAAAGTGTTAACTCTTGAATCTGTTCCTTAATGTATCAGGTCATGTCATGACTGGTGGAAGCTCAAATACTAAGAGTGAAAATAGGGTAAGTAATCAAATATAAATGTAATACTTGTATTTTAGTAATTCTGTATTATAATGTATAATATAATATAATGTATTATAGAAAAGTTTTTACAGTAAACTTTTCTTATGCTAAACCATAAATTAGCCTGTTAGTGTTCAAATTGCAGTTTTCCTGTGTGTTTCCCACCACTCTAACCTTTTGATTTTTCGTTTCGTTTAGTTCCAAAGTGGGTTTTCTTATAACCCTGTCAAAACAAAACCCAAACAAAAAACTCTCTTGTTTTTCTAATTTTTTTTTTGATACTGCGAAAGTTTGTCCCTTTTCTTTGCTTTTGAAGCACATTTAGAACAGTCTGGACATAACTCTCACCAGATTTTAGGGCCCCTGTGGGATTTCAGGTGAGGAGAATTAAACCACATGTAGCCAAGATGTCCCCTATGATACATTACAGCATAGCCTGACTCAGCTGTATTCAGTATATTTTTTAAAATGTTGCCCTGGGGCTTTTTTTTTTTTTGTTTCCATAGACCTGTTGATCTGAGAAATTTAATACTCAGGTGCATCTTGCTTTCCCACGGAATGTAAATAATTTATATTGCTTCTGTTCTTAAACCCAACCAAAAACCCAAACCACAAATTGCATCAGACAACTGCATGTGTGCTTAGTTCAGAAACAGAAGTTGTTCTGTCATGGGTATGCAGTGTGAAATACAGTGCAATAATAGGTAGTGTGCAGTTGTAGTTGGCTTCATGGTGTTTGTGGTTAAGTTTTCAGATCTTCCAATCTTTAAGGAAGGTAAGGTATTTTATAGCAAAACTAAAATAATTAATGCCATGTTAATATTACTGCTTTTCTTTCTTGATGACAAGGATAATGATTAATACAGTCTTTATWCTTCGAAAGCGAAGGAAAGATGAAAGTAGCAAGCATAGCCCCTTAGAAAGGAAAAATACTGAGGGTTTGAGTGAAGGCACAAGGGAACAAAGGAGATCTTATCAAGAAGGTAAGTTTTATAGTTTTAAGGCACTTCCTTCTTTGTATTGATATCTACATGTTRGTGATACAGACATTTAAAAGGTAGCTCTGACAGGTCTCAGGTAGCTCAAGTCGAGAAAATCATGCCACCATCAGTTACTTCCGCAATTACATTGATTTATACTGCTCATCTGGGTTTTAAAAGAAAAAAAAATAAAAATTACCTTATCAAACTATTAAAAAATGACTGGAAACATTTGGAATGGAGTAAATGTATGGGAAACACTTTCCAATTCASATTTATACCCATAGAATCAAATATCACTGCTAGTTGAGTGATTATTAATATTACTTTGCATGGACAGGGCAATCTGGATGTGGAATGAAGTTAGATGCTGGTTATGGTTTTTTTGTTACAACTACAATATTGGCTTCTGCTGTCCTCCCAGGAAGTACTGATGTRTCACACGCCCACAGGAAGCAATGGGAAAAGAGGATGTGCAGTAGTGTGCTGGATGCCCTGGAAAATGCACCTCTGCTTTCTTCCAGTTTTACATCTGAGGAGACTGAAAGTAAGATTTAATTAAATATGCTTTTAATTCAAGTAGTGCCAGTGATTCTTTACATRTTTTAGAAGCCAAAACTTCACAGGACATTTTTAAAGTGATGATAAAATAATTTTAGAATATTTTATTAACAACTACGTCAAAAGTCCACTGTGTTGAAGAGCATTTCTTCGTGTTTTTGTGTGACAAGAGTATTGTAAGGATGATGAAACCCACAGATAACATTAGCAACCCTAAAATCATAATAATCTCTAGGAAATTATCCTACAATCCTCCTCTTAACACTATTTGTGGAGGTAGCAGTGAAGAATTCATTTGATGCAGGATGCAACCACCTGTCTTTCAAGTACAGCATACTATTGGGAGTATGACATCTACACCTGTACTTTTGTTGTCATTTAACCTACAGATTAAGGCCARTGTGAAAAACCATCAGTGATGTACCTCAGATGTGAGGCAGAGACTTACTTCTCAACAGCTTTTCATTAAAACACTTAACATGAGGTTTCTTCTGAAAAATGTTTCAATTTTAAAATGCCCCACGCTGATGCAATTGTTATAATTATTTAATGTGATGCTAGATACGTATTCTAGGTAAATGTGAATAAATGCTCAGGAAAGAAATAATCGAGATATGAGTAGTTAGAAAATTCCCAAGTGTGGTGGGAATATTATATGATAATTACACACAAGGCAAGGGAAGAGGACAGGGGAATGCATATATTTAGATGTTCTGCTATTAAAAAGCACAAAAAGAGCCTCAGGCTGCATTTTATGAGACTTGCAGAGCCACCACAAAAGTTGGCAGAGACTCTTGACTCCTCACACTCCTCACCCAGTTCCTGCTAGCTCCCTGGCAGCAGGASGTTCTGCTGTGGCCTTCTGTAACTTTTCTTTCTTTCAATGTTAAGTGTCAACCTCAGTTTGTTGAGAGGTCAGTGGTACTATAGATGGAGTTCTATAGACTCTTTTCTTCCAGTATTTTTCTYGAGTGTGTTCTTGAATGTAATCCACGCAGCTAATGAAATTTTTATCGAAGTACTATTTATGAATTATTTTATATCCAGATGGTGGTGTTATAAACTGCAGTGCAAATAAGCCACGGAAGCAGTGGAGCAAGGAACCCCCTGAGACCCTGATGAACATGCTCAGCAATGCAGATATCAGCTTAGCATTTAAAACATACACAATTTATAAAGCAGGTAAAGCCTCATTTTCTGGGCAAACGGGTTTTTGCAAACAGGTTTATTAATAAAAGGTTTTCCTTTTTTGTTTTTTCATACGCAGCCCCTATGTATACAGAGAGTGCACTTGAATTCATATCACAACAGGGCTAGTTTCTGGGATTTTTTAAGTTTACCAAGTGAAATGTGGACTTTAAAAAGCCAGGTTTGAAATTCACAAGTGATTTCAAATTGTGATTCACGATTGTGCATCTCCAGCACATGATGAACTCTTCATGATGGACTTTCACTTGCAGCTCAACAGTTGAATGAGGTTGTGGCAAAACACAGACACCTCATGTCCTCCCTCCTGCTGAGCAGCCTGGTGTGTGTCTGTGTGTGTGAGGGAGGGAGGTGCAGTAAACACACTGTAGCCCCATCAGCTAAATCCATCCTTGCTAAGGCACCACTGCCTTAGGTTTGAGAGCAGGATAGTCAGATGCCACAGCTGAATATGGCTGCCGTCTGAAGATGTGTAGAGCCACAGTCACACATACTTGTTCTGCACTTCAGTTACCTTAGTAGTTTATCTTCCCACTTAAAATAGGTCACAGCTTGTCCTGGAATCTGCTGTGAACTGGGGACAAATTAGAAAGACCACATTGTATTTATATTCTTAATTGCTTTACTTTTAAAATTAAAATATTTTGGTGACATTTAAATTTTTATATTTTCCAAGCTTCCGAAAACATATTAAGAGGTCCACTTTCTGAGGAAACTGAAGCATCTGATGAAGTAGATGGTGAACATGAAGCTGTTGTTATAGATTCTGAGAGACTTGAACCTAGATCTGATGAAGATGACACGTATGTCCAGATGACATCCTTGCATTTATGTTTTCTTTGGTTCCTCAAAGAGATTTTTCCTAAATAACATTGCCCTGAAAAAAAAAATCAGTATTTTTATCAGTATCTAAATCCATCCCTCTCTTACATAATGAAATTGAAATTTAGTGGCATTTGATGTCTTAGAATATATGAACAAAAATACTGTGGTTTATGGATGTGTGTGTGTTTCGGAGGTGGTTCTTAGATGCTTAGAATCTCAATTTGTGTCACTGTTTATTTTTGTGGCACACAGACATGAACCACATAGGCCTGTACTGCTGCAGTTCAGCTACAAGCTATCAATATAAACACATTTGCAGTCTCTTAGTGTGTGAGTTTGGCTTTGCTTTTATAAATTCTTAAGAGAACAYCTATTGGTTCCCTAATCACAATGGTGCAGGAAATAAGTCTCTTGTGCTGATATTTTTACAGAGTAATTTGGGGGCAGGGGGMAACTAGCAAATAAAGATTCATGAAGTTGTATTTTGCTTTTCAAAACAACAGTTTTTGAAATCTATTTTTAGGGACTTTGAGGAAGGCGACCTGGACTGGGTATCAGAACTGAAAATGGTATTGAACCAGAGTGACTGAAAACTTGATGAGTGAAAACTTACCGACAATGAGTGAAGTTAGGTGTGCTTGTGTCCAAATTTTTTTTTATAATTGGTTATGAATTAAATAATTTCTGTCACAAAAATCTGAGTGGTCATGTTTTCTGTATCACAAAACTAAGGATGGAAAATGCACAATATACCTTTTTAGAAAGAAACTTGCCAGTAGCTAAACAAGTCCATGTATTAAATGTATTTTGAGTTGATAATATCTTTTCAGAAATGTTCAGTCAAATAATAGCATTCTTCAAAGTCCTCTTGTCATCTTTCAAGGTGATAGTGTAGCACTATGAGAAGGTGTAAAGGCTCTTTTCCTGACTACATACTGAAATGCAGCATTATAGTGGGTTGACCCTGGGCAGACACCAGGTGCCCACCAAACCCTTTCTGTCACTCCCCTCCTCAGCTGCGCAGGGGAGRGGAAATTTAATGAAAGGCTCATAGGTCAAGATAAGCAGAGGGAGAGATCACTCACCAGTTATGGCATAGGCAAAACAGACTTGACTTCAGGAAATTAATTTAACTTATTACCAACCAAACCAGAGCAGAGTAATGAGAAATAGATCCAAATCCTAGACCACTTTTCTCCCATCCTTCCTTCTTCCTGGACTCAATTTCAGTTCAGTGGTCAAGGCCAAACCCATCAGCAATGGTGGTAGTGCCTCTGGGCTAAAGAAGAGAGAAGGGGACAGGGACACAAGTGGGWAGGTCTGTCTTGGAGCTGGCTGGCATTGGCTCTGTCAAACATGTAGGAAGCTTCTGGCAGATGCCATCCCTGTAGCTTCTCACTGGTACCAAAACCTTGCCACACAAATCAAATATGTACATAGCAGGTGTAACTGATGTTTGAAGAGCATGTTATGGGAGACAGTAGCTACGATAAATGTTTGAGGCTTTAGTTCATGCAATTATTGATCCCCTGAAAACTCTYTGAGTCTGAACTTTTGCCTTAATTCAGTGCAAACGGTTTTTCACATGCCTTTGCATGTGTGAAAGGAAGTAAATACGTTCATAAATATGGACAGATTTTCTGACTTTGATCGGAGACACACTTCTGCTGCAGAGAGTGCTATGGGCAGTGTCATGATTAGGGTCTGTGCTTGTTACTGGGTTCTAAATAGACACTTTACAAGATAAGTGTAGCAAGGGTGAGCATAAACACTTCAGGGCAGAGTTCTCCAGGGGAAGCTGTCCCGGACTATGTCCGTGTAATAAATAATATTTGAWATAATGCACAAGGAAAGCTTTAGGAAATCTGTTCTGATACGGTTCATACCACAACTCCCGTGTTGCACATATATTTTCCACCAAGGCTTCAAGACCTTGAGGCAGTCCAGATTTCCTTCCCGGCCACCCCATTCTTACCACTGACCATCCAAACCAAAAGTCTGTGTTCGTGAGAAGGAGGGGTGATTGATGTGATGGAAATAAGGCTCCTGCCGCTCGCTAAGGGCACTGCAAGCGCCACACCTCCGGCGGGGCGCGGAGCGGGAGCGGCTCCTCCTCCCGGCCGGGCGGGCTCCGGAGGCGGCCGAGCGTACGCAGGTACCGTGTCCCCCCCGGTGTCCCCGGCCTYTGCCGGGGCTGGGGCCGGCCGAATCGGGCCGGGCTGAGCCGGACCGAGCTGGGCCGAGCGGGTCSGYAGSGCAGGGAGGCCCCGGCAAGGGCTGYCCGCCGGCGCGTCCCGTCGCCATGGGGATGCGGGGCAGCCGGGCGGGAAGCGACGTTCCCCAGCGGCAGCCCTTCCCCGCGCCAGYCGGTCCGTCTGTCCCAGCCCCGAGCAGCGCTTTGGCCACCCCCGGGATTCGGTGCAGGCGCTGCTGAACGGGAGGAGTTGGCCCTGCCGCCCTTCCCTCCCCAGCGCGTYTCTGCCGTGCGCTGCCCATCCCGGCGTGTGGCGGGGCTGAGCCCTGGCAGAGCGCATCCCTGTGCGGGCACCTGTCCCCAGCGCCGCTTCTCACCTGTGACTGCCAGCAAGAGCTGGCTTTGATCCAGACACCGAAATCACAAACGCCCCAAGGTCGCCCTGCCGGCACTGCCGGTGACCCTCGGAAACTGCCAGCGATGATGCCCATTGCAGAGCTTGCCTGACACGGAACGTCTCGTATCGGAGCCAATCTCCCCTGCTGGAAGTCAGGATCACTAATAAGAGCAGTTTTGTAGTGTCAGCTCATATTTAGGTGTGCAGCTTTGCCTACGGAAGCGCTGCAACTACCCAGTGACCTCAGTGTTCCTCACAGAGGTTTCCAGACGACCGCTAGTGCCCGACTTCACTTGATCTCCCGCAAAATGCAGTGGCTTTTCATTTTGCTGCCAACATTACTATAAACTAAATCAACATGAAATAGATTATTTTTTAATATTAAAATTCCACGGTATTGTTCACTTCATGAAATAATGTCACACTTTACAAAATCCTATCATAATCCTGGACGGCACTTGGTACTTCTTTTTCTTGTGTTAACTTTAGGGGATACTGCGCTTTTCTTTATGAGACTCTCATAAACTTGCTGCTTATTAAAAGTTAAGATCTGCAATMATTTGCATACTTCCAGGACATGATATTTTTAGGAAGTATCAGCAGCAGTAATGTTATAAAAAGTAATAAAAATGACAGTCTTAAAAGGTARTGTCTATTTTAGTAGCACCAACTCGGATATTAAAGCACTGACTTTGTGCAGTACTAATTTGAGGAATTTTTATTTTAGCCACTGCTTTAAGACGAATACATCATGGATAAATATGAAATCATAAAAAAAATTGGAGAAGGATCTTTTGGCAAAATATTCTTGGCAAAAGGGAAAATGGATAATGAGCCATGTGTTATCAAAGAGATCAATTTGARTAAGGTAAAACAACCTGAATTATATTTACCAGATTGTGCTATTTGCATTTCGCTGGGTATGAACTTGGGTTATGTTTTATCTTCTTTGTAGTCCCATCTCAATTACATACAGCTAAACTTTCAAGACTGTATTCATTGCTAATTTATTATTTTAAAGTCATAGATGAAACACGTATTTTGATATTCTTTGCTTTTTACTGCATTTTTGTTCTTTTCAAACCTTCTTTCTTCCTACAATATGTGACACTGCCTAATTCAAATTTTGTAATAGTTGATTCAACGACAATGAACGTATTGCCAGCGAAATCACAAATCACAATTCTGTGATACAGTTCTCTAAACTTTTTAATTTCCTTTTTCCCCACATCCGTGTTTTCAGATGTGATTAATTCACAATGGAGTCTTTTGAATTCTAGTTTATGTTTATGGCAGTTCGATGAATCTCGTCTGATTTTAATTTTTTCAGTCTGTTGCTGTAAGCATCGGAGCTGCTTGGCTCAAGGAGCCTTTCAAGGAGAACTAGAGAAATACATCTCTTTAGGAAGCTGCTGATCACRTGTGTTTTAGATTTCTGATTTAGAACAAGGTCAATTGGACCATAAAACTTCTCTCTTTCTTCCCATTGAAGAAGCTTAGGACCACTTGCTCAGGTGTTGGAGGAACAGCACTGCTGTGYCTGATTCCATAAAGGCAATTAAAATCTCTGTGATTCTAATACAGGAGTTTTAACAGTGAATTTCGATGAGTGCCTACATGCTTTTGACAGGTCTGTTGCTATTCTGGGCCACACTAGTGAATTTCTAATATATTAGAGAATTACAGTAGAAGAGTTCTAGAAAGAGCTGTATACCTTCCAGATTCAAACCCAGAAAAACTGGTACATGAGTAAAGACAGCTAAATGAAAAGATCAATAATTTCTCTCTCTGCTCATGACCAATAAACCCCATGCATTTCTAATCTTAGAATTTGATGTACAATTAGAAGAATGGCTGATAATTAAACAATACTGTGGATCCCACTTGTTCAAAAATCAGAAGCTGGATACAGAAAATAACTACTTTGAAGTAATGAGGGGTTTTTTTTTTATATGGTAGAGTGTATTTTATTCACTTCCTGATTTTTGAATCTTTGAGGATTACATTTCAAAACTATTTCTTAAGAATGAGGGTAAGAAGCTGTTTATAAATACAARAGGACATTTTGATGGATAGATACTCAGAGAAATGAAATTTTAAGTAGTATTGATGGTGTGATCATAGTAAACTAAATATAATTGTTCCATTAATGTAACGGAGCAGAGAGTTTGCCCGAAATGCTACAAAAACAGGTAACACCAGTAAAATGAAGGACTTTTTTTCTTTTTACTTTAATCTTTTGACATCACCCATATTACCATTACAGAATTATCTAGATCCATGTTCTTCAAATTCTTAGGGGAATTCTTTAGAGTTTAAATTCTTTAAGTTTAAAAGTACACATATGCCTGCTTATAAAATGTCAAAATTTGGTTTGACTTCAGTAATGTTCCAAACACACAACACATTTTTGTTTTATGTTATATATACATTATATAATATTTCTACATTGTCTTRGTACACTATTTTTGTATCAGTGGGAATGGTTTGCTAATGATGTAACTATTTTTGAAAAGTTAAATACATCATTGCTAGCATTTAGTTTCTTAATTCTTTGTAGATGCCTGTGAAAGAAAAAGAAGCCTCTGAGAAAGAAGTCATTCTTCTGGCCAAGATGAAGCATGCAAATATCGTAACCTTCTATGCTTCTTTGCAAGGTTTACTTCCAACATTTCTGTTTTAATTTCGGCGAAAGGAGTGGAAGGCAGAGAACCTACATTGTTAGTGTTGACCAACCTTAGCCCTGTCCCTAACSTTTTACTAAGAAGTGGGAACAGGTCTCAACTCCTAAAAATGGACATCAGCCATCAAATTCAGGCATAGCTTGTGCTTTTCATGTGTGTGAGTGGGTACTGTGACATGAATCCTACATYCTGGGGTGTGTGTACTGTATAAGTAGAACTTGAGTTTTGATCTTTTATAGGAGACCAGAGTTTAAAGGGAATTTTCTGGTAGTTTCAATGGAAGAGAGCTTTTGAGTCTAGCAAGGAACAGGCTGATTAAATAGGGCAAAAGRCTGATGAAATAGGCAAGAAATAGAATGATCGTTTCATCTGATCTGACCTCAGGTTCGTTAAATTTTGTTTATCCACATCATGTACACATGACATTATATGAATGTGATCCCTACATTGCACATACATACACACATACATACATACTTATTCATGCATATACATACACACAGAACAGGCAAGCACAAAAAGAGGCCATTAAATTGTCACACAACCTATTAGTAAATCTGCAAAAGTCTTTCAGCATCTGGGATGTAAAAACAGTATTGGCATTTCATACCTTGATACAGCACGGCCTTTCCATGGATCCAATTTCAATCTCATAATGCTGTGCTAGCCTTTTTTCTTGAAACATTGTTTTGAAATATCACTCAAGGATWAAGAATTCTTCAGGACCATAAGAGATAGAAGGAATTCTATTCAACATGAAAGCTCATTCCCTGTATTTATTTTTCCTGCTGGCATCTGTCATAAGCAATGCCTTATGTAATAAAATCTATAGTTGCAGCTTCTGTTCAAAYTGTTCTCTGTGACCAGAACTGTAAATGTTTTACAGGACATGTAAATCTGAACCCCAGAGAGGTAAGAATAGGTTGAATTTCCATATTAAGCAGGTGCTGGTGTTTATTTTTACTGTTTGGAATACTGTCTATTTTTAACATTTTCCCTAAGCTTTACTGTATACTTACTTATTGAGCAAAAAACTGAACTTTGAAGCATTCTGCTAAGTTTCCTGTAAGAACATMTGCCAGTGGGATCTCTTGAGGATTTCCTCATTTATTTAATATTTTGCTGAATCTCTAATTAAATRTATTTTCATGTCTTATTTTTGCATCAAGTTTCACTGGAGGTATCATTTTTTTCTCAGTCTTTGAAATGGAGGATTAGGTAGAGGTTAACTGCTACTTTTTGAGAGGACTGTATAAAATAAAAATCAGTTACTGCTGTGTTAATGAATAATAAAGGCATAAAGGAAAATTAYGCTTTTCCTTTCAGAAAAGAACAAGCTATATATTGTGATGGAATACTGTGATGGTGGAGACTTAATGAAGCGGATAAATATGCAGCATGGAGTGCTGTTTGACGAGGACCAGGTGAAWGACATTTTCTTCAGAGGGAAGGGCATACAACATGAAACACATGGCTTGAACTATCCAGTAATAACTGAACTTTTAAAGAAATCTTTGGTAATTTTAGTTGGCGTGTAGGAGGGGTTTTTTTAAGCTCTTTAAGATCTGAAATGAGTTCATTAGCACGATGATGACTTTTTTAATCCCCTCTTTCTCCCATTGCTCCTTCCATCATGGGCATAYTTTTTCTTTATATTAGTAATATACCCATTAAACCATGAAGATCTTCTTTTAAATAGCGTTTTTGAATTATGGGGGGGAATGTATTGTATACAAATTCCTTATTTGTTGGCGCTATTTGCATCATGGCATATCCTGCTTTATACTGAAGTCTGTGGTARATCTCTCATTCATTTAATTTGAGTCAAAACTTCTCTGAAGCCATTTAAATTGTGAAACCAGCACAAAGAAACAAGCCCAGGTATCTGACTGCTTTTGGACCATGTTCACATATATTATATTTTGTAAACAGGTGAGTATAACAGGTATTGCAGTTCACAGAAGTAGAATTTCCCACTATTCCTTGCTTATTCCTTTAATTTTTTACTAGCTCTTAGCTTTCTGAAGGGAATTTTCTTCATGTAGGAATTAGTTACGGAACTCTGGGGTTATTTATTCATAAATAAAACCTACTTTTGCAGGTACAATGAAATTTTGCWTAGAAACCAAGTAGATAGAATCCAACCTGCTAGTGGAAATACACTCTAAGACATAAAATTGGCAGAAAAAAAAAGTATTGTAACTTTTATTTTTGCTTCAGTAGTAAAAGAAGAAGTCCTTGGTGTAGAAATCAGTTGAAAGTGAATTACTGGTTCAGTAATAATGAGTTTTAAGATCCTGTAGGGAGTCATACTAGAGACAGAGAGAACATGAAAGAAAATAAAGAGAAGACAAACCCACAGATCATGGAAGCACAAAGGAGAGAACCAACACACAAATCCSTTGACAGCAATACAGAATAATGCATATACAGAGAAAGGTAAAGGAAATACAGACAGAAGAATGAATTATAGARACCATCTCCTGACCAAAGGAAAGCAAATTGCCCAATTTAACATAATAGCATAAAATATCTTTATATTTTCAAATGAACTTCTGAGAAAGCTTTATTTGTGGCACAGCCCTATTCAGGAAATCATCTATTTAATGTGAAGCATTACTAAACAGAAGATTATTACTTGAATAATTCATTCTTCATGTACATGAACTTTCCTAACTATAGAAGCATATAAGCACACTGTAGTTCTGTTTCTGGATTTAGTCCAAAAGYCCTTATTTAAGAATACATGTGTATATTGAAAGTTTAATGTATGTTTAAAAGCTGTACTGAGTGAAGGATAATGGATAAACACTGTGCKGTAAGTCAGATGTGCTGACTTACTTTGCAAGTTTCTTCATAGCTTACTTCTATCACCACATTTCAGTTG